TTTCAATGTTCGCGTACTTTTCGATAAACTTGAAGACCAGAATTTGCATTTAGCTGCCCAGCTCGCTCGTCACCAACAGGACTTGCAATCTTTCTATGACAAGATTAACGATCAAAATGATACCTTGAAGACTATGCTGAATAACCTTGATATGGAACATCTAGAAGAACTTGAAAAACAACGAAAGGAGGATGCTCAAAGAACAGCAGCCGACGGCGCCGAAATCTTTAACAAAATGGATGAAAGAGGGCCCACTGTTGTTGATGTTCATGGTAAATCATCAGATATTCACAGGCACTACAAACTTACTGGAGGTATAGGAAGAGAACAGGAACTGATGCTTGCCCTACAAATGCTCCTTGACAAGTTAAATAACGGTCACATACCCATATCGAAGGAAATGATTGATGCAGCGAAGAGAGGTGAACACACAACACTTACAGGCGGCTCAACCATAGTACAAAAGGGTCGAGTCGAAATAAAGGGAGGTAATGAACTACTAAGAAGACAGAACGCCGAAAGATTAGAACTTGAAAGAGGTTTGAATCAAGAAGAAATTAGATCGATGGAATCTCTTCTTCAAGAACTAGATGAAAAGGCACAACGTGACATTTCGAAACTTAGTGATAAATTTTCTGACAAACTGCAAGGAGACATGACAGAAGCTGAAATAGCTGCTCTTATGAATATACACGATGCTAGTCTAGCCGATCTTATGAATAGACAGGCTGCAGATAGAGAAAAGCAGTGCGCAGCTCTTAGAAGGAAACTAGCTGAGAGAAGAAAGAACAAAGTTGACAATCTCCGTGAGAAACATGGCGATGAAGCAGATAGAGCTGGTATACCAAGACCCGTCGAACCCATAGATAACAGTTTGAACCATATAAAACTTCATGAATCTCTTCTCCAAGAAGCAATATTAGAGGATGATGCAGGAATAGCTAATGCCTCACTTGAAGCTGACAACTCTGCTAGTAATAAATTAAGAGAAAGAATGAGCGAATTTTTCATAGAACACGTAGAAAACGGTAGAAGTAACGGTAGTTTAAGTCCTGAAGAAGCCGATAATATTCTCAGAAAACAGGCTGAACAAGAAAAGGCTATAGAAGCCACAATATCCGACAGACGCACCAAACAAGAACAAGCTCTACATGCACGACTCGCAGCCCGTCGTCAGAGGCAATTGGAAAACCTAAGAGAGGAGCAAGAAAGAGAAAAACGAGAAATATCTAGTCAACTCCTCCAAGAAGGCAAACACGAAGAACTTGAAGCACTGATGACCGAAATCGATCGTCGCCATGAACACGAACGAAATTCCTTGGTAGCAGAAATAGAGGCCGTTGAAGCTGAACACAAAAGACAACTAGGAAAGAGCTTGAACGAAGAGCACTTAGGAAGTGTAAGAGAACTCCACGACATGCTTTTGGAAAATGCCAAAATGGATTCTCTAGCCCAACAGAAACTTTTAGATTCTTTCAGAAGTGATGTTCTCGCAGCTGAGGATGAAATGACCAGAAACCGCGAACTCCAATTCATCGAATTGAAAGCCAAACTCAGCGCAAGGAAAGCTCGTAAATTAGAGGAGGCTGATCGTCAAAATGAAGAACAGGCTGCTCAAAGATTTATCGACGAACAAGCAAGACAAATGAAGGGTCCAGTTTCAGACAACACCGAAGATTCAACATTCACACCACCAAGCATCTCTTCCTTACCGGAAAGTGGCGAGGAAAGAGCCTTGAAGAAACGTCATGACACCTCAAAATCCGAAATGAAGAAGAGACACGATCAAGAAGCTGAACAGCTTCTGAAAAAGATTGATGCCGGTTCGAAACAAGAAGAAACAGCACTCCTTCAAAAACAGAAGGATGAAAAGGATCAAATACTCAAAGAGAAACGAAATAAGCAAGCTGCTGAATTATCTGCGAGACAGGGAATGAGCAGTGAAGAACTAGCTGCTGTAAGTTCGTTTAAAAATCTCATAAATTTTTACTAACTTTTGTTATTGTACAGTTGAAAGCCATGCACGAACGTGAATTAGCCAACTTATCAGAGAAAATTGAAGCTGGTCACCAGAAACAACAACTTCAATTAAGGGAGAAACTAGCTCAAAAGAGAAAACGTCAACTAGAACAAATGAAACGTAAGCACGAAGTTCAATTAACAAAGGAAATGCTAACTCAACAAAAGGAATTAGATGAAGTTAAATCAAAACAGGTCAAAAAATAATAAATACGATATTAGTTCTCTGATTGATTATTATTTATATCTTTCAGGCTAAGGAATCTGAACAAAAGGCAATCGAAAATGGAATTAGAGAAAACGGTATCGAAGATGCTGATAAGGTTGTACAATCAGTTCTCGCTAAGCGTCACGCACAGGAGACAAGAGATCTTGAGAAACGATTCAGTGCTGAAAAGAAGGTAATTTTTCAATAAATTCTTATATTTGTCTTTATTGCCCTAATATTTATATTTCTATTCGTATTTAGATTATGGTTGATGATGCCCTGGCCAAATTGCACGGTAAATTTGAAAAGAAACGAGAAGATCTTCAAAGGAAGCACGCTAACGAACTTGAACAATTGGAAGTGAGTTTTCCTAATACAAATTTCATTTACTCTTCCTTTCACCTTTCACATTTAAACAGCGTCAGAACTTACCGGCTGAAGAGAAACAAGCACTACTCTCTCAATTATTGCATAAACAAGCCATGGAAATCGCTGATTTGGATAAACAACTCACTGAAGATGAAAAGAAAATCAAGGATAACGCTTTAATCGACTGGGAAGTGAGATTTGCTAGAGCCAAATTAGACTTAAAAGAGAAACATTATAAAGAATTTGCGAATGCTCTAAAAGGTTTCTCACCTAAACATAAGAGTGCTGCAGAGGCTGAAAGAGCAGCTAAACAACTGCAAGAGGTTCAAAAGAAATTGGATGCTGAAAGAAAGAAACGAGAACACGAATTACGAAAGGAACAAGCCGAATTTGAAGAAGAGCAAAGAAAGAGAAATCAAAGCGATATGGTATCCTTCCAGGCAAGTCTAGATAAGGACCTTGCCAATGAAAGATCAAAATACAAAAAGAACATTGAACTTCTCGAAGCTAGGAAAGAAGAGTTAGCGCGCGAGAACAAGGCGAAAATGCAGAATGAATTAGAGAAACTAAAGGCATCAGGAGCTTCTCAACAAGATCAAGATGAACTTGTTTCCAAATACCAGAAAGACCTTCAAATGTTAATGAATAAGATGGAAGCTGATAAACTAAGAATGCAAACAAACTTGGAAGAGCGTTTAGCCAAGAGACGACAAGAAAGGGAAAAGAAGAATTCCGCCGACATGGAAATGGACCAACGTGATAGAAAGAGAGAGTTAGCAGAAAAACAAAGAAGCGAACTGAACAGATTAAAGGCAGATGAAGCTCTGACTCTTAAAGAGTGTTTGAATTCTGATCCATTAATGGCTACTCCTCCAGCATTGAGTTTGAATCAACCTAAAGTACAACATCAAGAACACCAACAAGCAGCCTTGGCTCAACCTGTAAATCCTGTTGTTACTGCTTCCCAACCGATAAGACCAACAGCAGACATGCCTCAGTCGTTTGCTATGTTACCACCTCTGGATGAAGCCGAACTTACAGCTATGCTAATGGCTTCGCCATTATACCAGAAATTGGAAAAGATTAAGCGTCAAGTTAATCAATCAGGAATTGGACGCAGCAAGAAGAAGGATGGTGATGCATACATAGATCATAGGGATGCCGGCTGGACTAAGGACGATAAATTGATACCATTGGATTTGAACAAGGTTGATGGACGAACCTTCATCGTTTACAAATTTGGTTGTTTCGTTGTTGATCTTTTATCCGCCCATTGTCAACATCCATCGGTAACTCTTCTACTTGCTGATAAGATTCCACCAAATAAGCATCTTGAAAGAAACGCCTACAGAAACAGCTTCCAATACGACGCTCATAATCATATCCTTTACATGAGAGCTGATCGCACTGATTGCGTTGGTCAATTTGTTCTCGTTCTTGTTCATACTATGGCTCACATCAAATCTGGTGACTTAAGAGATGACACTAACGCCCAATTCTCTGAAGAATTATACAGAGCACTTTCTGTGGTTTGCGATGATCTCTTCTTTGCAAGATATAGAACTGAGGGAACTCTTTCATGCGATAAACAATCGGCAAAGAATATGCTATCTTCGCTATTCGGAGAGGCTCAAACTGAGAACGAAAAGGCTAATGTTGTGGATGGTTTAATTGACTCTCGAGTCTTACCGGCAACTGATGCTAAGGGTATATCTTTCGAACCAGAAATGATTAAGGAACGTCTACTTCGCTACAACGACTTTGCATCTAACTCTAAACTTCGAAATTTCTTGGGCGATGTTGAAGGCAAAATGGATCTGGCTAAATTTGGCGCTCCAAAATTGGTTGGTGATAGTGTATTAACCAGAAGATTACTACCAGATCCAAGCATAATATCGAATTTGACTGGACACGCTCTTTGGCAAAAGTTTGTAAATGCTAGTGCTGAAGAAGGGCCTGCTGGACAGCCTCCCACTTCCCATAAGCATCTATTACAAGAAAATGTTAATGAAGCCCAAACTAACGTTGATGATTTGAACGCTTCCTACGCAACCGAAACTAGCAAACTCGTTAATTTGAAAGATAAAATAGCAGAAACCGAAGAGGAAATAGAAAGACAAAAGAAACTCGCTGGTAAAGATAAAGGACCAAAGAAGAATAAAGAGAACCTGGCCAAATTATCGAAATTGAAAGAGGAATTATCTTCAACAATACTCAAAGTAGAACGAATGAATGAGCAAATCATTCAATCGGAAAAGGAATTACAAGAGCATCAAGCTGCCTTGAATTCCATCAAAGAAGTTAGATTTGCCTAAAGAGTAATATTTAATCCCGAAAACTTGAATGGTCTTCCGTAATCCTCGTCTTCCTAATCTATCTTTTTTTCCAAGAAACTCTATTATATCTATCTTGTAACTAAATATGAATATTCTATGTCTTTTCCTTTAATAAATCTACTAAAGCAATGAAATATTAATAGTGAAAGCATTATTTATATATTTTGTATTAATAATTCCCAGGGAAAAAGTTGTGAAACCTATCCAATAGCCGACATGGTCCTCTATAGCCAACTCCAAAACAGAGAATCTGTTGAAAATCCTCAATAGATTCAGAATTTTTCCATTGATTTAACAACTCTTCTTCCCCTATATCATCTATAAGATAGTTTAAACTATTTTTCAATCGATCATCCCAGTTTTCTTTAGCCACTTCATGAAGTTTTTCATCGATATCAAGACCCGGTCCAATCAATCTCAAAGTTCTATTAATTTTAATTCTTGAGTAACTATTAACATAAAATAATAAGGATGATAAGTAATTAAATAGTTAAATTAATTAGTAAACGCACTTACCTAACAAAAGAGTTTTTTTTTCTGCTTCTATCTTGAATGTTTAATAATGACTGGCATTTGAAAATAAAATTTTCAAGATCACGAAAATCATTACAAGCATTATGAATCTCTGTAAAGAGCTGCAAAATATGAATTGTTGATTTTCTTTGTTCAATTTATAAATTATTGATAGATTGTGCGTAGAATTTAATATAAATCAATATCAGAGATAGAAATTTACCGCGAATGAGATAGCTTTACAAGTGTCACATCTGAGTTCTTGACTTTCGGTGAAAGGTGTTGAATTGAAGAAATCTTCATCGTTAGTTTTCAATGCCGCATATTCTAAATCGAATCTCGTCTCATCTTCTATAATTATAGGTGAAACTTGTCTTAACAGAAATATAAATAGTATTCGAGCAGTAGCTATTTTACTATCCTTCATTGTTACTCGTTGACTAATGTAAGAAATTATTTCAAAAGACACTAGGTGTCAGTGATATGTTTGACAGAATTAATGAATTAGGAAACAATAGTCAAATTGATTGATAATTATGTTTTATTGTAATAGATCGTTAGCTCGATCTTCTTATTGTATATCATTTTTATTGAAGAAGGTCTAAAATATCCTTATAGCTTGGCAACAAATTAAAAAAAGCTCTTATTATTGATGGTTGGGATTTTTCACTGGCAATATCTTCATCGTATAAAATACCGGCAATACAAGCAGTGGAGAAACAGGCTAAATTGGCATTTAAGAATAGGCGCAAAAATTGTGATCCCACTTGAGCAACCCTTGGCGGATCAATCGAACTCCAAACTCCTATGAAAATTGCCAAAGTTCCAAATGACGAAAATCCACAGAGAGCATATGTTGTTAATGTTGCAGCATGTTCGGAAAGTTTTGGACCTTCTCCTTGTTGTATACCTCCCAACTCTAGAAAGGCGAGTACTTCATTCCCAAGCATTTTTAGTCCTAGCAAAGATGATACAGCTCTGCATTCGGACCATTCAATTCCAATTAACCAGGCAAAAGGTACGAAAAGATAAGAAAATATGATCTGAACGGATAATTTTATTCCAATTCTTCTACCAATCCATCCGAGAGTTGTGTCAAGAAAGTCTAACAAGGATAAGAAAGCAATAATTTGCAACATAATGGCTGTTACACCTTTCGCTGCTTGTTTAGCTCCATTAGCCATAGCTTCAACAACACTCCTATCGTTACTCTCTTCAACTTCGACTTCATGCGAATTCTTGTAATTCGATATTTCTGTTTCGGGCCATGATAACTTAGCAATAGCTACTGCAGCCGGTGCAGAAATTAAAGCTCCCGTTAAAAGATGTTGAGGATTAACACCAAATAAAACAAATAGTCCAAAAGCCCAGCCGGCTATTGTAGAATGAGCCCCTACTAAAAAAGTATGAAATTCTGACCCAGTCAATTTCTTTATATAAGGTTTTATCATTAAAGACGTTTCCAAAACGGATAAGAATATATTCGCAACAAGACCGAAAGCTTCAACAGCAGTTATATTAGCAGAAATTGACATAATAAAAGCCATTTTTGTGATAACGAACTTTGTTACACCGAAATAGAAGAGAATATCCACAACAGCCCCGATAAAGGTGATCAAAGCTAACAAAAAGAATCCAGTATGAAGTATAAAAACAGGATCTCCGAACACTTGCGCGGCTCCTTCGAAAGAATAGCTTAGAAAAGTGTTCAATTCATCTGATAAAAATCTAGCTGCGTTATAACCAGGTTTCCATCTTAAGACTATTACAGCCATCAGAAATTGTGTAGCATAACCCCAAATAACAGGTCTCCATTTTATGTGTCGTCTATGCTTACTGGTAAAGTAAGGTATGATGGTATAAAAAGTTAAGCCAAGGATTGATTGAAGTTGTCGTCTTGTTTTCAGTACGCCAAGGCCTAAATAAAGTACTAAAGCTACTAGAATTCCACTCAAAAAGATCCATTTAACTAGATTCCTTTTAAAGATTGCGAATACTGGCTGAATGATATGCTTGAAAATTAAATCTCCATATCTGTCTCTAATTTGAGCGTAAATAAGATAGGCAACAACAATCGGTGTTATAACTATTAATGCTTTTGCCTTTTTAGCCGAATGTTTTATGGCCAAACCAAAATAAATGAAGTAACCAATAAGTGCTAAACATAGAAAAATCAACTTAAGCTTTCTTTTGTTCTCCTCCACAAATCGTTGAAATTTTAGACGCCATTTTACAATAAATGGCCTCTCTCTTTGGGATATTTCAATCCGTCTTTGCTGTAGAATTACAGTTGTGGACATAGGCACGTGATTGAACTGAGTATCATAAATAGGAGCATTGACGATTAGATAATGAAGTTAGTGAATATTTATAAGATGGTTCGCTATTTGACAAATCTCTTAAGTTAAGATAAACGTTATTGATAACAACTTGAAGACTTTTGTTTTTTTATAAGAATATAGAATATCTTATACTAAATAAAAGTCCATATTAATCGCATGTAAGTATATATTTTCGTAATAAATAAAATGTAGGGCAAATTGATAGGAAAGTTCAAATCGTAATAATAAAGTAGGGACAGGTAACAGTGTTTTCTGTTCAATTAGTAAAAAATTTATAGACCGAATATTTAAAATACATAATTCACCTTTTTTTTGTTTAATTATGTAATTAAAAATCTCTTTAAATATGTCTGATGTTTCATATTTTATGTACATATATACTGTATATATAAATATAAAGAATTTCCATTAGAGGATTTAAAGTAAAACTTCCCGCCTTTAAAAAGTTAGGGTTGTAAACTGGTAAAGATAGTTTCTCCTTATTCATAAACAACTATTTGTTTTCTCATCTAATTTTTATCATTTTTTAAACTCAATCTATAGATAATTTTTTTGCGTTCAACTCTCCATATCACTATCTTTAAAAAACATACTAGTTAAATGTAGGTGAAGTATGACATTTAAATCATGTCGCAAAAAATTTTTATCCTCACAGAAAACTGGTAAGAAATATTGAGCTGAAAAGAAAAAAACAACATACCCGATTCCAACAACCTTGTTTACGATGGCAGAACGTTTATATCATATTCAACGTCATATTTCCCCTAATAATTGTTCTAATTTATCATCTAACAAATCGCAAAAAGGACAGTATAACTACACATTGGATTCTGGGAGTGCTCTTACCACAGAACAGAGAAATTTCTATGAAAAGAATGGCTATCTAGTTATTCGCAAACTAGTACCTTTGGAGAAAATCAAAAAATTTACAAATAGATTTGAAGAAATCATTCAAGATAAGGAAATAAAAATACCAGGATTAATGGTAATGAGAGATATAGCTGTTGCAAAGAGATTTGACATACCTGCTCATAAAGCAGTAAATAAACTACAAGATTTTCAAGAAGATCCCACTCTATTCGAATATTGTAGCTTACCAGAGATTTTACATTATCTTCCTAGTTTTGTTGGAAATAATATTATGGCTATGCATACAATGCTTATTAATAAACCACCAGATCCTGGTACTGATACATCTCGCCATCCAATGCATCAAGATTTACATTATTTTCCATTCAGACCAGCTAATAAGATCGTCTGTTCTTGGACGGCAATGCAAACGGTTGATCGAAATAATGGTTGCCTTGCTGTAATTCCAGGTTCACATACAACCGAATTACTTAAGCATACTTATCCAAATTGGAGGGCGGGCGTTAATAAAATGTATCATGGAGTAGAAGACTTTGATCCTAAAATGCCAAGAGATTTTTTGGAGATGGAAGCGGGGGATACTGTTTTCTTTCATCCACTTCTTGTTCACGGATCGGGAGCGAATAAAACGAATGGTTTTAGAAAAGCAATATCCTGTCATTACGCTTCAAGCAGTTGCGAATACATTGAAGTCGATGGTACATTACAGGAGAATATTGCAAAAGAAGTGCTGGATTTAGCAGAAAAACGAATTGGTGGGAAATTAACTGGCATAAAATATCACGATATCTGGAGATACCGTTCAAGATTGGTCAAAGGGGAACGTGATAATCTTTAAAAAGATACTCTCAATATTATCTCTATATTTAATAAAAATTGCAGTAAAAATAATAGAAAATTCTTTCAATAATATCAATAAAAAACATAGAAAAAAGCCTTTAAAATAATTATTTGTAGACTAGCTGCTGCAGTAATAAAGAAAAACAAAAGACATCTTTAATTTTGGTTCTTTAACTTTTCCACTTTGGTTCATTATTACCGCTGAGGAAGGATTTTGAAGATTTTGGAGTAAGGGCTTTATTCAGTGGTCTTGTCTCTTCATTCTCCGTGGGACTCCTCCAAGGTACCGCCGAATCGGAAATTGATTTCCAGCTGTTGAAAATTATATGCAAAAAAAAAATTCATTAATATTCATTAATTTATATTAATGAAAGTGTGTTTGTATGTCTGCGTGTCCTGTGTTTGGAGATGTAATATGTTTAGGATTATCCACTGTGTTTTTAATGAATTTAAAAACTATCAAAGAAGAATATTAACAAACTAGAAGAGAGGAGAGAAAGAGAGCGAGAGAATATTTTAAGAAAGCTATTTAATTGTTTATCAAAATAGTCTAAATATAATTAAAACATGAAAAACCACAAAAATAATTAATAGGTTAGATTATGAATATTAATTAATTAATAAATTATGTCAATATCTTAAATAACGCAATTTTTATTTCTTTTGTTTGTTTTAACTCCTTTAAACGAATAGTTTTGTTGATTTCTTTAATATTTTTTTACCTCGAACATTACCCAATACTCTCTTAGTCGTTTACAATCTTATCTGTTTTTAGATAATTTCTGCATAAGCCTTAATTAGAAATTTGTTAATAGTCTTTTAATAATTGTTAAATGATCTTAATAAAATAAAGAAAAATGAATCGAACCCAACCGGAAGAGGATCGAAAGGGATATTTTTTTTTTTTAATTTTTTCCTTATTCTTCCGGTTTCTAAAGAGAAACTTTTTTATGATATTGTAAAAAAACAAACCTACCTTGCAGGTTTTGAGCCTTTTGCTTCTCGTAAGGCTGCTAGTCCAAATTTTTTTGTTGTCAGTGAAGAATCACCATTCCTGTCTGTACTGGATTTCACTTTTGGCTTTGGGAATGTTGGAGGGGCGGAACTTTTTATTGGAGGTTTTACGCTTTTTATTGGATTTATCGCTTTGGAAACAGTTTTGCCAGCAGAACTTTTAGTTGGAGATATAAGGGTGGAAGAGGTTGAGGAGGATTTTTTAGGAAGTTTTTTAATACCATTTGTAACATCTTTAGTGGCTTCGAACTTATCTCTCATCTTAGAAATAGACTTTTCGCAAGCCTCATCGCTAGAACTATCCCAACTATTCGTTTCCTCAGGGCCATCTGTTACCCCCCTCTTAGTCGCCATCTGCCGCATTTGGCCCAAATTTCTTAAAGTGCTAGAAGCCGCTACCTCTTCTAGCCGCTCAATTTGTCTATCCTTAGCTTTAATCTCCCTCTCTATTTGTTCGGCGTCCTGTTCTGACGCCATTTCCAATTTAGCTCGTAAGTCTGAAATAAAGGAGGATCACGTAGCTATCTGAACCTATCTAATATCGAACAATTCTCCTTAGAGAGAGAGGGAATAGAAGAGAGCGGATTAAAATAGAGCGTAGTACACAGCAAACAACAAACAAATCGCAACGAATATTTTATTTATTAAAGCTAGTAAAAAGAAGCAGTAAAAAAATTCAAGTACTAAAGATTAACAACGTCAAAAGCTTTGGTTATTCCATAGTTTAATACCTTGCTTTTGCCTTTGTAGTTGAGCTATTTGCTCATTCTCCGTTCTACAATCCTCTATAATATTTTCTTCGTTCTTTTGTCTAGATTCAAAACTTGCCCTTAATTTACGAACTTCCGAATCCCTAAACAAAGAATCATTATAAATTATTAACGAATAAGATCTTTTTCGCAATTAATTTTGACAACAAACTTTCTATCGATCTCTTTCTTAGCCTCCTTTAATTGAGTATCTAAATCCTCAATTTCGCCTTCTTTCACTTGCATGAGTAACATTAATTTGTTCAACTCGTCACGTACTTGACTCAATTCCGATCCAGCATCATCTAACGATTGCTTTTCGTATGAAATAAAGAAAAAAGGAGAAAACATTAGACAAACTAATATATAAGTTTGTTATGATTTGTATAGTAACTATAGTAATAATAATTCTAAATTCTACACTAACATACTGTACATATTCAATATCCCAAAAAAATAAAAACTTGTTTTTTTTAAAAAAAAAAAACTTTTACTACTTTTTAAAAAAAGTTGAAATCAAAATTATAGCAAGAAAAAAAACGATTAAAAAAATTCGCCATATTTAAAGATGAGAAAACACTGCAAAGTTTATATACTGTATATCAAAGTATATATATATAAATGTATAAATGGCTTATAATCGTTATGCTTACTGCAATCCATCCGGATTTCTTTTCATCCTGTTTCTTTAGTTATTAAAAAAAAAAAAAGAGAATATTATGAAGAAAAATGTTGATGAAAAGTGAATAAATTAATTAATATGTTGTTTTCTTAGTTTTCTCTTTTTTAGCCTATATCTTTTTTTTGATAAGACAAGAAGAGAAAGGAGAAAAGGGAAGAAGAAGGAAAAACGTGAGAAGTATTTTAGAATTTTCGCGCTCGTATATTTGTAAAGTTAATTAATGAATTAATTAATTTGTTTTTACCTCTTTGAATGACCGTATTAATGAATCTTGACGAGTAATATGGGTTTTAGCTTCGATTAATTCACCTTGTAGCCGACTTATTTCATTAGCACCGCTTTCGTTCCTATAATAGTTGTAGGCCTTTGTAAAGTAATATTTGTATTACCTTATGTAAATATATGTACCTTGTTCTTTTAAGTACTTCTAATTCTTCTTCAACTCTTTTTCTAGAGCTTTCTAAAAGCTTTATTTGAGATTTTAATTTGCTTGTGTCGGTATCTGAAGTAGTGGTTCTTGACTTGTCTTTTAATAGTTCATGATGTCTCTTCTCTAATTGTTCAAATTGCCTTTTCCATCTTTCCACATCCTCTTGTAGACTACTCTTTTCTAATTCTACTCTTCTCAGGTCAGTTTTACTGACGGAAGTTTCCGTCATTGATTTCAAATTAAAATTCTCTTGTTCCAATCTTGTTAGTTGTTCTGTAATTTTTGAGTTAAGATCAGCTAAAGCCTTCCTCTCATTATCTAAGTCTTCTATTTGCTTATTGAAAGATTCTTGACCGGCTTGCGTAAGGAAGAGATCGCTATCGGCTAGGCGTTCCTCCTTTTGTTTAATTAGATTATCTTTTATCCTTTCCGCCTCTTTCAGTTTGTCCCTGAGGAAGGTAAAGAAAAGATTTTGTTGAATAAGATCAAGAAAAGCATGGTTTATTTACAGTAAAAGATCATTTTCAGCTGTCAATTGGTTTACTTTGCATTGAAGTTGTTCCGCGTCGTGAATCTTACTTAATGTTCCTTCCGACTATAAAATTTACAAATTTATGATAAATAGAACAAAATGATTATGAATATTAATATATTAAAATTAGATAGTTTACGGTTTTTGCTAAAATACTCTTTTGCATCTCCAATAGTTGTATGAGTTGTTGATTTTCAGCTCTTTCTTGAACTAATCTCCTATTTTCTTCTGTTAATCTATAGATTAAATGATTATTTTATAATAATGAAAAAGGGATTATCCAGTGATTACGTAAAAAAATTTATTTTTAAAAACCTGGTGTTTGCTTCCTTTGCTTCCATCAAATCCTCGTATTGTGATCTAAATCCTGATTGATCGTTCTTTAGAAAATCGATTTCGACCTCCATTTCTTGAATTCTTTTATTCAAATTCTGGATCTCTGAGTCTTTACGGCTAGAAGAGGCGGTCAACTTCTCAACATTCGACTTCCAATTATCAATCTCTCTCAATTGTTCTGTCGAATGATCTCTCAAGTTCGTTTCGGCTTGTTTCAAGCTCTATAAATATAAACAAAATATATATTTAGGCCTAAATTAATCCTCTATAAGTAAATATACAAGAAATAAGAAAGAGTGAGAGAGAGAGAGATAAAGAAAGAGAAAAGAAAAATAAAGAGTATTTACCGATTCTAACTCGTGACATTTCGATTCCAATTGATTCCTTTCAACTTTTAAAGATCTTAATTCTTCTCGGAGTTTTTGAGCATGTTCACCAACGCCATCTTTTTCCTTTTTATAATCTCTTTTCATACTGTCCATTGACTGTTAAACAAAGAAACAAAATAGCGTTTTTACTATATATTAATTGTTATTCAAATTTAGAAAAAGAAACTAGGTTAATTGATTATTAATGAGTTTTTACCTTTTTCATATTCTCAATTTGCATTTCCAAGCTTTGAATTTCTTGCTCGTATAAACTATGCTGTTCAAAAGCTATTGTCTTACTCTGTTCTAATGATTTATTCTGTTCAGCTGCCTTTTCCAAGCTCGCTTTAGTCGTTGCCAATTCTATTGAGAGTACTTCGGATACTTTTTTAACTGCTGCCAATTCCTCATCAATTTTAGTTTGCTGAGTTCGTTTCGACGCTGTATCATTCGTTATCCTTTCCAATTCTTGACTAACTTCTTCGAAACGTTCCTCTAGTTGGCTTTTACTCTTTTTCAAATGTTCATTTTCAGCAGTAGAATCTTGTAGTTGATGCTGTAATTGTAGTTTCTCTTGAAAGTATCTTTCCTTATCAGAGCATGCTGTCGATGCCGTAGATTTCATATCCGCTATATTCCTTTCATACATCTCTAATTCGGAAGTTAATTTTTGTTTTTCAGCCTTTAATTCTTCATTTGCCTTTTTCTCAATCGAAATTTCCCCTTTAATCTCTGTATTCATTCTTCTAGAATCCGATAATTGTTTGCTCAAATCGTTATTTTGCGATAACAACGTTCTAGCTTGTTCCCTTAAACGATCCGTTTCTCCGTTATGTTCCCGATTCTGAGATTCCCACCAATCGTTTCTACTTCTCGATAATTCTAATGACTCCTTTAAAGCATTTGTTTCCCTCATTAAACTATCTTTAGCTTGAGCTAATTTGGCATTATCACTATTTAAGTGAGCAATAGATAACGATGATTGCTCTAATAATTCTTGTTTTTTCTTTGCTTCAGCCTGAGCCAAACTTGTTTGAGTTCTCATTGAAGCTAATTCTATTTCTAAATTTTCAACCCTAAGGGAGTAAAATAAAACTTAAATGCGAATAGGCCTATGTTTATTTATATACGACTGTATATATATTGTAAGTAAAAAAAAAGAGATTTACTTGTTTTGCATATCCTCTTTTAATCTTGCATGTTCACTTCTTAGAGTGAAATAACTATCTTTATCCTGTTCATAAGTTTCTAATTTCTGTTTTTGCTCTTTAGTTTTAAAACGAAGGTCATTCATTTCAAATTCATTATCTTTTAGTATCGTTTCGGTTTCGCTCAATCTCTTGGCCTGCATCTGTTAAAAGTAAATAATACATAAAATATAAAAAAAAGTATTGATAAGTGCACAATAGATGAAAAACAAAATCATAAAAATGAAGTGATTATATAAGTGATATGAGATAAATTTTCTCTATATACTTGAATTGTATCTTGAGCTTCTCTTAATTTTTCCATTAGCATTGTTCTTCTATGTTCACTTTCCTCTAATATTCTTTGGAGATCTCCAACGGCTCTTTCAGACATGGCTTTTCTTCCACATTCACTATGCGCTCTTGAATAGCCGAGAGGAGGAGTGAACGGTCTGTTTAAGCTATGCCGGAGCCGATTACTGTTGGCACTATTGCTATATCATTTACAAAATATATGTTAATTAGAAAACAGGTAACATGCGAATAAAGCTGTGTGAATCATACTCACTCGAACCCGCTATCCGTTTCTTGGCTATTGTAGAATTCATGAGAAGCTCTGAGGGGAGACCGACCATTAGATGAGTAGGCCATTTCCTCCGTAATATTTCCGTACTCCTCGTTCTGAACGATAGAAGAAACTTTATTAGAATAGGATTAAGGCGGATTAGTGGAAAACACAGTAGGGCGGGAGAGAAGGTTTGAGGGATTAGGAATAGTTCTGAATATATCTTTGACAGACCGTTTCAAATTATTCAGCCACCTCCACCTACTTTGAACTAAATATATATAAATATATAGATAAATAGATAGATATACAAGTACAAGTATATTTAATCAATCTCATTAGACAGACATAGTACGAAAAATCTATCGACACTGGCATACGAAAGTAAACCGAGGGCACGTTAATTAAATTTGCAACCTTCCTAATCGTAACAAGTGCACCTTATTGATTGAATTCCATTAACAATTTCGTATTTCCGTATTTTGACTTCCTTTAAGGAATGTACTATTCATTTAAGTGCTCTATTTTTTAAATAGAAAATATTTTTGTATAAATAAATCATTAAAAACGTCGTTAGGGATGTCGAAACGAGGCGGATTAGTTATATATATTAAAAAACTTACTAGATTTATCAGTTCCTTAGTTCAATATAGTTATAGGCAACGTTAAATGTTTAAAGAAAAAAAAAGTAGCGGTAGAGTATCAGACAGACTGTAATATCGAATTTTTTCTCTTCGACAAGCCACGACATATCCCGTGCGCCATATCTAATTACTTTAGCCTACACTAGTATATCGGCTTTTTCTTTCACCCTTCTCTTTCAAATCTATATACCCTTATTTATTTTCCACCAGTTATATGTAAATAATACAAACCGTATCGTAGTACTCGTCTTCCAATTCATTCTTTCTATTCCATTTTCTTGAATGAGAGGCTAGGGAGCACAATTTTCGACTTTCCTCTCCCAGCGACCTTAGAGATTGATAATTCGAAGCCGCTTGAGCGGCACAATCCATTGAAGCTTGCCGAAGATGTATCATAGATTTCATAGATCTATACGACGACATTCTATCGTTAGTCTATCTCTAGACTAACCCAATCATATAGGAGGAATGTTGAAGAAATAATTAGTTAACCGCCCGCCACTGGCAGCGGATTAATGGACAAGTAATTCGATATGAGGTATATGTATTTGAAGTTTAATAACCCTTTATAACGTATAGGCTTACTATCCAGTCGTAGGTCCTGCAAATTCGATAAGATTAATGATATAACGCTTACGAGTGTCGCCTTTTCATTAATACGATTTAGTTTTCCGCGCCGTTTTATTAGTAGCGACATCTGTGTTAAAATCTTGTTGAATACAGTGTCTATTTGTTTAAATAATTCATATAACAAGGTAAAGTATTTTTAGAAAATAATTTATTATTTAACGTTACAACTATAATAAGCTTTCGATTTATTCATTTCGTATTGATATATATATTATTATATATATAAATATATTTATAGAATTGTACAATATTTCTGTTTTAGATACTTTTCACTATACGAGTTGTTTCTATTTCTTTCAAGGTTTTCACATTTTTCGCCATCTGTTTTACTTCGTCTATAGGTTTTCCCAATCCCGCCAAATGTTGGAAAAATGTTTCCTTTTCTATTTGTATGGCGATATTACTTACGCCTAATTCTTTTAACAGTGCTGTAACTTGCAGGAGAACTTTTTGTTCGGAAGCTTGCGGGCTTATTTGAACGTGTATTGTTGCTGCGAGTACGTTGCTTGAATGCCTCCAAATGTGTTCATTCCTATATGCAAGCACTCCGTCTACATGAAGTACCTTTTTGAATTTTGACTCAATGTCTCCCTCCAATTCGGATGGAGCTTGAAGAAGCAAAATGCAAGAGCTATCTTTTAATAAAGGCAATACGGACACAAAAATCATAACAGCGATAAATAATGAGCAAAGAGGATCGGCAATATTCCATCCGAAATTCTCTATCAATAAAGATGAAACTATAACTCCTACTGATCCAAGTGTATCGGCCAGAACGTGTAAGAAGACACCTCTCATATTTGTGTTCTGGGAAGTAGAATGCGAATGATCGTGACCACCGTGACTGTGACCGTGTCCGTGAGTATGACCGTGACTAAAAGCGACAATTCCTAATAGGTTAACAATTAGACCGGCCACTGCAACTGAGAGTAGACGTTCAGTTCGAATTTCGGGAGGATCGAATAACCTTCCCACGGATTCAGAGAAAACAAAAAATGCTACGACGACAAGAAATAAGCCGTTTATGAAACCAGATAGAATCTCAACTCTATCAAATCCGTAAGAAAACGTCCTAGTAGGTGCCCACCGACTCATTACAGCTGCGTATAGACCCATAACCAACGCCGAACAATCGAAAAGCATATGGAATCCATCCGATATTAAGCCAAGGCTGTTTGTCCAAGCTCCATAAATCAGTTCAATAAATGTAAAGCTCTATATAAACAATTATAAAATAATAAAATTAATTAGAAATATTTATTGTACTTACAAGATTTAGACAAAGGAAATAAAAGATTTTCCTAGAATCATTTTCTTCCAAAATTTGTCTAAGACCGTTCTTTGCAATAAGTAAAATAGAACTAGACGTTCTATGGAATGCATCGCCACTTAAATTATATAAGGGCATTCCGGCTGGAGAATAACCTATGAAACTGCCTCTAGTTGTTCTCGATGGTTCAGTTAATATTTGAGTTGCTAGAAAATAAAACAATTAAAAAGATTTTCCCTTGTAGATTCGGTTAAATAGATAAATAATTATATAATTACCAAACAAGAAGAGAACAACGCTAAACACAACTCCTCCGGACATTTGATGATCTTCTAATATAGCAGTGTTGTTGGCAACATCCGTAACAGGTTGATATGAATTTTGCCAAAAAGCTCCAATAAGAAGAGCTATGACAACTATTGTAAACATAGTAATTCGCGCGCAGCGATGAGGTTCCAATTTTTGAGTGGAAAGATTTTCAACGTAATAATCAACAACAAACACAAAAATTGCTACAAATAGGCATGGTATTATCAATGAAAAAAAGGACACTTGAATTTCAGATGAGAATGTTAAATTAAACAGGGTCCATGGTAGCATCCATGCGGCCGAAAAGAAACTAATTAAGGCACGTAAACGTTTCGTTCCACCTATTTCAACAGCTAATTTTCTGGAATAACTTTCGTAGCCTACTCTAGCGCATAAAGTTAGCAATAAGAGCATTACACCACCCTTATGGTCGCTTAGGCCAGTCCAATGGGTTAAATGTTCAAACAGGTGTGATACGACCCCACTATGTTGATGATCATCACCGTGTTGGGCTGCATGTTCTCTCATATCATCGTGATCAAAGGCAAGGAGACCAAAAGCAGCTACGACGAAGAAAACACCTCCACGTAACTGTTTTAACAGACATAGTATTTACGATAAAACTGAGTTTTTAATTTGACCAGTTTAACACACCTTAGCGGGACTGCCAGAATTCGTGAATAGAGCAGAAAGTAAAGCAAGAACAACTATTGATGAATGTTCGTACAAGAGTAGTGTTCTATTTGAAATAAACAAGTGAATTTATTAAGGTATGCGAAAGGTATGTAGTTGGATGATAACATAAAACACACCCACTCACCTAAGAGGACCACATTGAGTTAATCCGAACATCCATAGAACATTTATTAAAACATTACCAAGTGAATACCTAAATATTTTCAACCATTCATTTCTGGTAAGGTGTTTTCCAGTTGAAAATGGTTTTTGAAGAAGAAGGAACGGAAGAGCCGAACTATTTAAAATATAGAATTAAACAAACAAGAACATATGATACGACAAATCTAGACTTACAATACGTGGACTAGAAATAAAAATGGTACCACATGAACTGATTTAAGTAGTTCGTATGATATATAAATTCCAAGACATTTCAGAAATTTGCTGGCAACCAACGAACAAGTGTAAGGCAGATTTCTAGAAAATGTAAAATAGATATTATCTCTAAACTGTCTAAAAGTCGAGTATAAATCAAACCTCGCAAAGCTTTCTGGATAGATCGCTCTTGAGTTCATTTTAATAATTTTAGATCTATTATATAATTACATAATGTTCACATCAGTAGAAATTTAACAAATACATAAACACGCGTCCGTCTACGTGAAAACGGAAGTATGTGCTTTAGCGCGATTTAGGCGCGCAAAACATACATTTATTTATATTTTTTTTTGTACAAATAAACGAAACAAGCACAAAACGTAAATTCAGTCAGAGTCTGATACGTTTCTTCTTTTCTTCTTCGTTTTAGGAGGTCTATCATCTTCGTCTGTAGATTCTTCTGAACTCGGACTAGCTTCTTTTCTCTTCAAGTTTGCCCGTGAATTATTATTAGACGCTCCCTTTCGATCCCTTAATACTCTAACTCTAGTTGGTCTTTCCTCTTCTACTAAAGCCAACAAATCACTAAATCTGTTCAATTGAAAAAAGTTTTTAAAAATAGTCTTAAAATACTGTTTCTTTGTTACTGTAAAACTAACTTGGATTTGACTGCCTCGGATGACGATTGTTGAACTGATTGCAGTGCACTCTGCATCGTCTCACTCAGTAAAACTAAAAATTAAAGTGAAATTAAAACTTATACATATTATTTAGCTGTTAAAATTTGAACTAACATGAGGAGTCGGTAACGGTATGTCTGTAATGCTCCAAGTGAGATAAGATTTGGTCAATAGAAAGGGTACTTTTATCTTTATCTTTTGACTTAACGGAGGTTCCTCCTCGATTTCGCTTCTTGGAGCTCGCTTTTGTGAGAAGACTATAAAAGTTATCTGCCAGCTTTTCCTCTTCCTTATCTGCCCAATATTTTAAAACTGATACCGATAGAATATCACTTTCTTCAACTTTTCTATGTAGTATAGCTTGAAGTAGCTGTCCATTGGGACTAAAAATTAATTCGTAGATTAACAATTTCAATAAAAACCTATTAAATTTACCTTTTTTCTCTTAACAATAATATAATATTTTGTAAAGTATCTGCATGTTCTGTACAAACATCAAAAGTTATATTATATTTAAAATATGACCTACATATAAAATACATACGAATGAACTGTAATTTAGGTAAAAGAGGTAGAATGTTCTCAATGGGCATGCTATGAGCCACCAATAATTGCCACAAATAATATTGCTCAATGCTCTCCCATTTCAGGCTACTTTCTGCAGAAATTAAAAGGACCGTTAGATCGGTTACGGTATCGGTAAAAAAAAACAAACCGATAACTGGCAAATATTTATCTTCAAACATATCGAGTTTTCCTTGGAATTTATGACATAATAATTGATTGAGCAAAGGTCCATCCAAAACAGAAACAATTAACCTCACTAAATCGCAATTATTAAAATCGTCTGTAAACTGTAGTGGGAGAGGAAAAAGCCTTCTGTTAAAATTTGTTCTTATACAGTAAAATATATACAAACATGATTATATATATCTGGTATTAAGAATGTAAAAAGTCGTGGATCATCATATGCACAAGTTTTCAGATCTTTCATCAACCATGTTTCCAGTTTTTCTGATGGTTGTAATGAGTTCACCCAATCCTTATAAGGTGCCATTTTATCATCGTTTTGTTTACTTTAAGGAAGTAGGAGTAACATTTTCAAAATAGTTATATATACATATATACTGTATAAAGAAAATATTAAAAAAACTGAATTTTTATTAACTTACCTAACTTTTAAAAAATATAAAAATCTATGTCCAACTCTGTTTTCTACTTTATACATTTCTTGTAATAATACAAGTAGCGTTTGTTTTCTCGGGTCATCGTCTTCAATGGCACATAGATTTCTATAAAGAATAAACAGTATTGTTTGTCAAGATCCGTAAAAATGTTTAAACTTAACAAATATAATATTTTAAAAAAGAATTTACGAAATATACCAACCTAAAAATAACAAACAATGGAGTACCGAGTGAGTCTTCTAGGCTTCTGTGTAAGAAAAGAAAAATGATATTTTCGTTAATTTTAGTTTTAATATAATTGTATACACTTACTCTTCAGTTTGTTCTCCGGGTAAAATTTGACATTGAAAGCAATAATCTATGACGCTAGTGATAGATATAGCTAGAGCAGTTGCTGATTCATTATCCAATCCTTCATCCATGACGGCTTGCATTAATTTGTCCATTGTTTCACATTGAACTGCACTATCGCTGTTATTTTATATAGAATCGTTTTCGGAGTTTTCGTTTATTAAAAAGAAATAATTACCTCTCTTGCTCCATTTCCTTTATAAAGGTTTTGATATCACCGTCCAACTTTTCAACAAGCTTTAAAATATTTTCACCCTTAGCACCGTTTTTTCTTCTTAATCTCTCAGTTATTGGCTTTAATTCAATAGCCTTCATTATTTTTTCTATAAAAAACAAAAGAAAAAATTATAAGGATATAAGAAACAAATTCGTGTAATTTCCCATTAGTAAGATTCATACCTATTTTAACACCTGTTTCTTCGTCTGCATTTTCTTCACAATCGCTAAATTGACCTTCGATTTCTATTACACTATTATTTGTACTTTCACTTTCTAAGTCAATGACTAACGGTAGTTTAGATGTCGGTGGGGGAGGAGCTATAGCTGTTTTAAAAAAAAAAGCATAAGCATCTTTGGTGTTTTTAACGAGGACTAGTATTTCTTCATACTTTCTGGTTGAGTGAGAAATTCAGTGAAACATTCTTTAATAATGGCTTTTAAATCTTTGTCATGCGATGGATTTTCGAATAAAGGTTCGAGAGAAGAAACAAATTTTTTGTTCAATAATGCTTTGAGACACCCATGAATTGATTGTTTAACTTCAGATGCAAAAGGTAAACAAAAATTTTTCATTATCTATTAAAAAAAAACATATTGAATTTAATAGGGAAATTTATTTCGTCTTTTTCTACTTACTCTGCAGAGGAAATCCAATAGGTTGACTGTTATTGTTGGACGACTTCTCATTGAATTGAGCATCACTAGTATAGCAGGTTCTAAATTAAGTATACTATCCTTATCAGGGTCGAAGAACAGCCAATCAAAAAACAGAGATAACTTTGCATCACAAGCCGACAAATTTGACTAAAATATCAATATTAAACTATTTTCAAAAAGTTAAGTAAAAATTTTTTTAAAACTTACAGAACAAGAGACTAACAACCAGCCGATAACAACCCATCTTGGTGTAATATTTGCTGCTAAAATATCACTACTTGGATGCACAACAGTGCATATGTATCGAATAATATCACAACGCAGCGTCTGACTCTCAGGAGTTGATAAATACTGACGCTGAAACCAATCTTGATAACGTTTATGATTTCCAAATGCTACTTTGGTCGTAAGGAAATGCAGTTTAAATTCCATATCCGGAGTTAAGCGACTTCTTATATAAGTTCGACTGCTTTTCATTTTCATTATTTGATCAATGCCAGTGAACGTTGGACTAAGTGCAGTCGGATTATACATCATATCGTAACAGATAGATGTAAACTCAGGAATTCTTGATACATTTTGTAAAAGTCTAACTAAATCTCTTCCTATTGTCATACAATCTTGCCACTGAAATAGAATAGTGTTGTAGAAAGTTAAAAAGAAAATTAACAATCTTACCCTTTCCCTTAAAATGTTGACACAGAATTCAACTTCTTTTTGACGTAGATGATTTAATTCGCTTCGACAGTGATCGGCAATAATTCTTAGATATGTATACAATGAAGTAAGCAAAATAGAATTATTTTTATCTAGCCATCGTCTTCGAAAAAGAAAGAATGAAAAAATAATAATAAGAATTAATAGATTCCTCCTTTTAAAAAAATGATAAATTATTAATATTTATTTCTTTTTTATTTACCTATTCTCTGTTAAAATATCCAAGACAGTTTCTGCTAAAAAGATGTTTTTTTGAGAAATATCTCCACCAGCAATTTGCTTCAAACATCCAGTTATAACAGTGTCCAAATTATTAACATTACTTTTTAACAATTCCCTACATAACCATAGATATTGTGTTTTGGCCCCATCAAGCATTTTAGGCCATTTTTCATGAATTAATTTTCCCATAGTATTAACGACAACGCTAAATCCATCTCGATTTATCAAAGTCATATTTCTGTGACACTATTGCAATAATTCTTGTTACATATAAATGATGTTATATCATTAAATTTTGTACCTTTGCAGCTAAACTTTTATCTGTTAAAATGGAATACAAGAGACCAAGTTGAATTTCTTCATGTTGGGTCGGGCCTTTGCACACTTGACTGTTCAGGGCTTCGTTGGATTCTCGCTCCGTGACACCGTCCATATGTACTTGGAGGGCATTATTGCATCTTTCTAATCTCTGTAAAGTAACATTATTTTAAACAGTGGCGCGAACTCGAAATTGAGAGAACTACGCATGCGCTCTTACAAAAATAAGTATGGCGGATCATTGTTTTGTCGCTCGTAATCATTTTTATAGACGATTATTACCTCATCTAACTCTTCCCGTTGTTCCACCGCTAATGTATTAAATAGTCGCGACTTAATCTTAATATTCGCGTCCATAATAAATGCTAAGGGAAGTGTAAAAGCGTTGAAAATTGGGCTAGATTAGACCCGACGCACTCTTTCCACATGAAAAAATATTAGACGCACCCAAATTGAAGCCATAGGGGTGTCAGTCTGAATAGGCCTAAGAAATATGTTCGCGCATGCGCAAAACATACCGCTTCGTAGTTCCGGTGACAAAGCACGCGATTTCCGCAAAAAGGTCTGATGCAACATTGCATTGAATAAATATATAACTATTCACTTCTCCAAACAGATCATATATCTCGTTGAGATCACAAGCAAGTTGAACGAAGTCATATTGATATAAAATATGTCAACAAGTATGTTCTCCAATTCTTTTAAACAATTTTCAATAATTTCGCTCAAACGTTTCTCCAAAATGTAGAAGAAGTATATACGTCAGAAAAAAGAGGAAGTGATGAGACAGGTGACGGTACCAAAGAGAAGCCATACAAAACAGTGTTGAAGGCGCTTCTAGTTTCTGGTGAACCATTTCCTAGTCTGTTTGTGGATGGGCAGGATGAGCAAACTGTAAGTAAATTTACTTCATTTTTAATATCTACTAACGAACTATATGTAAATAACAGCCATATGATGCAATAGCAAAAGCACAATTGAAAAAGCAGACAAAATTGTATCAACAAGAAGTTCGAAAGTTGGAGAAAGCATCTAAACGAGAAGTTAACAAAAATTTTAATTACTTTTACTAGCTAATATTAAATATTTGATAAATTTCATATTGAAAAACAATATATTTTATTTCATACTCTTTTCATGTAGGATGAAGATGCCGCAAAGAGACAGCAAAACATTGAAGACGCCAAGAAGATAAAGATTACGTTAGATAAAAGTTTACCAACTGCCATTCCGGTAATATATATTTGTTTTAATCTTCATATAATATTTATCATTCTTTTGCTGTGTATTGTCAGATTAAACTTAGAGATTCAAAAGAACATAGAGAAAAGAGGGTTTCCATTAAAGGTTGGGTTCATCGAATAAGAAAACAGTCAAAGTCTCTATTGTTTGTGATACTTCGCGATGGAACTGGATTTATTCAATGCGTGCTTAACAATGAGCTGGTAGATTTTTTTGCTTTTATCTATACCTTTATATTTACGTATTACTGTCATTATAATAACATAAATCAATATATAGTGTCAAACATATGAAGCACTGTTATTGACAACTGAAACTTCAATTCATGTTTATGGAACGATTAAAGAAATACCAGAAGGAAAGAGTGCCCCAGACGGTCATGAACTGATAGTTGATTACTGGGAAATCATTGGGAATGCGCCTCCTGGTGGATCGGATGCCTTATTGAACGAAGAAGCTCACGTTGAAGTTCAATTGGACAACAGGCACATCATGTTGCGTGGTGAAAATGTAATTTGAAAATTGATATTTTTAATTTATATTAATGAATCATGCTCCTTTTATAGACAACCAAGATTATGAAAATGCGTTCTGTTGTTTTACAAGCTTTTAGGGATCATTACGCATCCAGAGGATATTTTGAAGTTACCCCTCCAACAATGGTTCAAACACAATGTGAAGGTGGTTCGACATTATTTAAATTCGATTATTTTGGAGAAGAGGTAACTCTATTTAAAATATTTATATCAAGTAATTTATAAACAATGTTTCAGGCTTACTTGACTCAATCATCACAACTGTACTTAGAAACGCTCCTTCCATCAATGGGTGATGTATATTGCATTGCTCAATCTTACAGAGCAGAATTGTCAAGAACAAGACGCCACTTAGCAGAGTAAATATTTTTCTCAAACTCTCACGAAATAACGAACATTTTTTATCAGATATACTCATATCGAGGGAGAATGTCCATTTATCACATTCGATGATCTCTTGGATAGAATAGAGGATTTAGTTGTTGATACCTGTGAACGCATAATGAAGTCTCCTTTAAGTCAATATGTTTATGACCTTAACCCTAAATTTAAGATTCCTACTAAACCCTTTAAGCGTATGGACTATAGCGAAGGTAAAGATGCCTTTATTCTTGTCAACTATCAGCATTATCATAATTATTTATGTTTAAAGGTATAAAATTCCTGAAAGAACACAACATAACAAAAGATGATAAAACCTTTTATGAGTTTGGAGAAGATATACCAGAAGCACCCGAAAGGGCAATGACTGACCTAATTGGTGAACCCATACTATTTTGCAGATTTCCAAAGGACATAAAAAGTTTTTACATGAGTCGATGTCCAGAAAATAAAGAAGTAGTAGAAGCCGTCGATATGCTTATGCCTGGAGTAGGTGAAATGATTGGTGGCTCCATGCGTATGCATGATTACGACGAACTGATGGAGGCTTATAAAGTCAATAATTTTAATCCGAAACCATACTATTGGTATACAGATCAGAGAAGATTCGGTTCTTGTCCACATGGGGGCTATGGACTTGGTTTAGAAAGATTTCTATGTTGGCTTCTCGGCCGCTATCACATTCGTGAAGTATGTTTGTATCCACGATTTCGTGAACGATGTACACCTTAGATTCGTGTAAAACTAACAATTACTTTATTAAATCAAATAAAACTATCTTTAAAACCAAAAAATATCTTAAGATAAAAAAGATCGTGTTTTACAGGCTCCTAACAGTTTCGGGTGACTGTTATTTGCTTTCTTTCTCATGGTGTTCGATTTTGCGCTATAGAAAATATGGCAATTACATTTACTTTTAAGATAATATAGTATAGTATAGTCACCTAGTTGTAGTTGTTTTCTTTCCACTGTCTTTTCTGAAGTTACGCTTCCCTCCACGAAAGCCTTTTTTCTTGAACTTAAAAGATTACTTATTATAAAAAAAACTAACAACGAAATGATATAATTACACTAGCTCGAAATTTTGGCTTTCTTGTCTGACTACCATCAGAAGTCATACGACCATCTGCAAAGTACTGTGATTCATCGACCATTTGTTGATTAGTCGAAGTTTCAACAAGTTCGCTGTCATCCATACCTGTAAAAGGAAAAAGTGTACAAAGATCTTTCAATTTTGATCGCGAATTATTACTCAGTAGCATTGCAGCATATTTCCTTGTAATATCCAGAAACTGTTCTCCATATAATTCATAGCGACTTTCAGTTACTTGATCAATAGCTAGCATTTCATTTTTATCAACCGGTAATTGGTTTGCCATTCTGTGTAGAGTTGATCCAGGAAATATATGATGAAATGAAGCTCGTCCAAGAGATCGTGCTACAATAATTTATAGTCATATTCATATATTTGTATGAAAAATGGCTTATTTTACCTAAATCTTTGGCAAGGTCAATTAGTTCTTTAAGACAATCTTCATGGAGTTTTGTAACAGGGTTTGATGACTCATTTCCAATTTTTTTGTCTGTTGTGGATTTTCCACTAACTTTCACTTGTAACTCAATTTTCAACTGACCAGATAATACTTCTGGCGCTCGCTTGCCAAGTCGAATATACATAACTATGTGGTCTTGGGCAGTTACGTGCACATCTTCAGCAAGAACAGCTTTACTGACCAATATGTGAAAGAGACGCTCACAGTCATTTCTAGAATAAGCGGCACCCTTATTGTACATTTCATTATCTTGGTATTCAAGAGACTTTTGATTTTTGGATCCTTTAAATATTTCGACACATTGTAGCAATGTTATATAACTTATTGCTTTCTCCGACGGTATCATTTGTTTTATACCCTTAATTATGCCTTTCGCGTCCTCTGATACATCGCGACATAGGAAGACATCCTGTTACGAAAGTTATACATTACTTTCTATGTATAAATTGTAAAAAGTAAAATATTGTTTTTGTAAATAAATACACAAATAACTGTTATCTTAAATTAGATCATATAAAAAATGTATGCTGGGCGCTTTTCCAGACAGAGTTTGATGAGTACTTTCATATTTTTACTTCTAAAAATTGTTTTTATATACTTGCAATAAACAAGTGTAAAAAAAACAGAATAATTTCCTCTAATTAGGTGAAAAAGTTCATGGTATATCTTTAAGCTATTTTGACACCTTTCCAAACCTTTTAACTTTCTTCTCTTGCTTAAATTGTTACATTGTAACAAACTATAACAATTTCGTATTAGAAATTTGCTACAAAATTTCTTAAGGAACAAAAGTTTTAGAAATTCTATCACGAAATTCTGTATAGCTCTTGATAAAATAAACTTCTACAAGAAAATAATATGGAAACATACCGTAGAAGTGCAGTTGTCGCAGCCACCAGAAGGAACAGATTTGCAAAATTTTCTATCAAAACACTCTCCAAAATACTCTAAAATCTGAGACCTTCGACAATCAGTTATATTCTCGCAATATTGAACCATTCGATAAAGATTATCTCTGTGAAGGGCTTTACAATCCCAATTGGAATTTTGGTCCACTGCAAAAATAGCACATTATTTCTTTAAGGTTAAGAACATAACATATTATGTAAAATGAGGTCATCTCAATAGAGAAAATATTAGGTGCTGGAAAGGGAATTTCTAACACTAAATTATCAAATTACAAAGACGCAGCTTGACGAGTTATACAAAGAGGCTAAATTTCAATGAATGGTAGTTTGGTCAAATTGTCAAGATATGTCGCTAAACGCTCCTCTAATCAACAGGCTGTCATAGTGATCAATGCGCAACTTATCTTTCTCTTAAAATTACCTGTCTATTGTCAACTTATTATGTAATTTACAAGCGTGTGTCGATTATGTTCAAAGAGGCGGAGTGAGATATAGCTTTTATAGCATAATATTTTGTTTTTTTTTTTTGAAATTTTAGCTTGCTTTAATGTCACGTAAATAAACTAAAACTTTCAAAATTCTTTAAGGCGTTGCGTTAATCGTAATAACGTGCTGGTGAAAACGTTGGGTGAAAGTGGAGTTAATTCGGCGACAAGCATAGGATCGGTTACTCAGAAAAGGATTGCTAGCTGCTGATTGGTTGTTTCAATGGCGCCAAAAGGCGAAAGACGAACTCTGATTGAGTATAAACTTTAGGTGCATTGTTCTCAATTGAATCTTCTCATTATGTCAGCCACAGCATAAAAGCCGGTCCCTGTGGTGTTCAAAGTCAGTCGGAGTTGGGGCGCCGAGTCGTAAAGAACCATGGCTTGAACTTGAAACCTACTGTCAACTTGCCTAGTAGACGTAAGTATTAGATAATTTTCAAATTTTTGCTTTTCCGAAACTGCATTTTGGAACAGAGGGCGCTACTTTGTTTACCGTTTAAAGTGAAAAAAAATGCGTGGCACTTAGCGCCATCGTCAAATATGACGTAATGGTCTTTTGTTTCTAAAACGGCGTCGTTTTAAACTCGAACAGGCATTGGTTCGTCGCGCAGCAAAGACGCGCTTGCTTTCAGTCGGTGGTGGCGGTTGGATGAAAGCACCACGTTCTTTGCTACGGAACGAACCAGCATTAATTTCAAAAGTAGCGAGAGAAAGTTGGTCGTCAATTTGGAAAGTATAGAATAAACAATTCGTGGCTGTCGCCTATCGAGTTAGTAGCTTACCATGCCTCGTTGAGGTAAGCACAGCCCCGGTAGGCTTCAGCTGCGAGTACTTTCTTCATTACTTTGGCAAGAATCTACATTTTTTATGCTGTTCGTTATATGGCACACTCAAACCTGTCTAGAAAAAACAAGACAGCGTTTGAGTTGCCATGTATCGCGCAGTTTCATTTCAACTGAATTTCGTCATTGACATTTCTTTTCGCGTTCGGAGCTGAATTGTACAATTGGTTTTAGCACAGACGCGAAGGGGAGTAGCATAGACGTTATGTGAACAGGCGTATTGCTGTTCGTGCTTGTGAAGACAGAAAGGAAGTCTGTAGCACAAGCATGTGCAGTGATATGAATTTTCACTTACCTTCAATCATGCGACGCAAGCGTGAGGCATCCGAATAATTGTAGAAGAGCACACATGTGCTCAATATGGAATCTCTTCCGGCTCTTCCGCTCTCTTGATAGTAACCTTCTACAGATTTTGGTAAGGAATAATGTATGACGAAACGCACGTCCGGTTTGTCTATGCCCATTCCAAAAGCGATAGTCGCACAAACGACTTTGCACCTTGTGAAATAACCAATTGCATTTTGCAATTAAAGTAAATATCTCCCTACCTTTCTTCATTAATCCATCTTCCTTGTACTGTACTTCTTTCCTTATCAGATAGACCTGCATGGTACGGCTCAGAAAGTATACCGGCACTTCTCAAACATTTCGAGACTTGATCACATTCTTTCCTTAAAAAAATCAGTCAGTGTTTTAGATCTCAATTTAAGTAAGTACTACTGACCTTGACAGGCAATAAACAATACCAGACTGTCCTTTAAATTCAGTGTTTATCAAATTTATCACGTCATTAATTACAGATTTTGGTTTTTTAGGTAACACCTTGTATTTAAGATTTGGGCGATTAAAGCTTTGTAGGAACCTGAAATTTTTCAATTTATTAATTGTCATATCTTGTCAAAACAATTACCATTTGGGTGATGAAAGAGCAAGTTGGTGTTCAATATCTTTTCTCACTCTTGGAGTTGCTGTTGCGGTCAAAGCCATTACAGGAACCTTAGGATAATCTTTACGGAGAACATTCAATTTTTTGTAATCAGGACGAAAGTCGTGGCCCCACTGAAATCATGCGTTGTGTCATAAATGGCACTTGACAAAACGTGGTTATAAATATAAATCGCGTTGGTTTTGTGTCATGGATGACAAAAACGTTTAACTTCTTTCCCTTTCTAAAGGAGATTTATGGCACATCACCGATTTCCGTGTTAATAATCGGACGTCGGTTTTGTGTCATATATCTATTTTAGAGCACTCAGCAAGTACTTGGCTTTTAATTGGATCATATAGTCTACAGAACCATTTTCGTGTTATGGCATACAACTTGCAGCTTTAATTTTTTAAGCTGTAACAACTATGCCGTAACTGACAAGTGGTATTACCTGACTCACGCAATGAGCTTCATCTATAACAAATCGTGCTATCAATCCTCTTTCATATAAATTCGCCAAGCAACTGTTCAGTTTGTTACTGTTTGTGATCTGATGTTTAATAAATAAATAATAGTTATAATAACTATCAGAAATATAATATTAACTTTTTCCGGTGTGATGTAAACCAGCTTTATGTTGGATTCTCGCGAGTGCAGTGTAGTATAAATTCTTGTTGCGTCACTTGCTGATATTTCACCACTTAAGTGTTCAGCTCTGATCTGCAAGTATCAAAACTGAGAATCTGTAAATGCTTGATATCATTTTAATTTACGTTCAATGAGTTCAATTTCTGCACTTGATCTAAGATTAAAGATTTAAGTGGTGATACAACAAACGTGACGCCAGCAGATACGACTGCTGGAAGTTGGTAACATAAACTTTTTCCACCACCTGTAGGCATAAGAATAAAGCAATCATGATTTAACATAGCCGCGTTTATGGCTTGCAGTTGGTTTGTTCGAAACTCGTGAAGTCCAAAGATACTGTTGAAATCTCTTAACATTCTAGCTGAATGTGGATAATCAGTAGATGCAAATTCTTCGTTAGTAGACACTACCAAACTAGGATCAATTATGCTTTTATCTGTTATATAATTTAGCAAGTAATTCGAATTACCGTAGTTATATTAATGTTACCCTTTGATGGGGTGAAAGTATTTTTAGAACTATTCCGAGTGGTATTAGGTTGTGTCTGAGATTTCTCCATTGTTAACGAAGGTAAAGAGTCGTTATCAAATGTTTTGTAATTGCGTACATTCTGAAGGGGTGAAGTGAATGTTGTTGTTCCCATGCGATTGTCATTGGCAAAAGAAGATGAAACTGATGACATATCAAAAGTAGATATGCTATCTCTCTTAACCAAGTTAAAGGCTTTTGTTTTAGTTAATAAACTATTTGCTGTATCAAAATTTCTGGTTAGATTCTGATCTGTTCTTGGAGTAGAAGAAGAGAACTTTGTGGGTTTAGTTTCCTTCACTGTAAGCTGCTTTCTAATTTTGTAAAGTATTACATATATATTTTATATTCGTACGTTCTTAATCTTACCTCTTTAAAAGAAGTTGTTGAAGTCGTTCATATTTTGTGCCAAAAGCATCCATTAAATTGGACATGGAAGCGGAAGAAACAATATCACAAATTTCGTTCATAACATCATTTAAGCTTTGTTGTCTCGATTCTAACTGAAAAAAATAAATATTCATTCACTGTTGTTTTAGAGTGTATATCTTACGCTTGAAATTAATGAATCTTCTTTCGATTCAACAGTACAGTTGGCTTCTTTTTCAAGATCAAAGACTGGAAAATTATCGTCAAATGAATCCCAAACGGGTTTTACAGATGTTTCTTGTTGCTTAGGTTGTTTAGGTTTTCCGAAGGATAAGTCTGAAAAGCGTTAAAATTATCAGAGAAAAGTTGATCTCCATAGTAGTTCATACTTTCAATATAATCTTCGTCATCATCGCTGTTGATTGTTATTATACTTTTTTTAGGAGGTTTTGAAAAAAGTGGACTGAACGCTATCGATTGAACGAAAAATTAACACTAAATATTGCTCAATGATAAAAGACGTCTTTACTTTTTTTCTTTTTGTCACTATTCTGCGATTTAAACATTGAAGTTAATGACTTAAAACTTTTAAAGTTTGATTGTCCTTCTGAGGTATCGTTTTCAAGTTTCCTCTTCTCTGCAATCTTATGTGGATCTTTCAACTTGCTAAAAATAATTTTTATAAATTAACAGCAAGTAATTGAATAATATAATAATAGTAATAATAAGTAATTGAATCTCTTACGATGAACTAGATGCTAGAGGGTTTACCATTGCGACTTGCTTCAACGGCTGTATCACATTCTTATCTGAAGAGCTAAGTGGTGTGTTATTTCCAGAAAGAGATGTAAATGTAGTTTTTGGAGTAGAGTTAACTATTTCATTTCCTATTGGTTTATCTTTTTTACTTTTAAACTTAAAAACTCTGAAGTTTCATAATGAGTATTAGAAATTGGCAATTTTAAATATCAATTTTACCTTTTCGATTGTTCCATTTTGCGCACCCAGACTTCCCGTGCAGTCCACAAATTCAGTAAGAGACTGAAAATTTTAGAATGTACGAGGTTTTATGAACACAAAAGTTACAAATATGCCCTTAGTCGGATAGAGGGAGCACTCAGTGTATGGTATCAAAACAATTATTTTTTCTGTTTAACATCTGTTTTAACAAATAAGGAAATTAAGCATGCCAAATACTTGTTTGATATCATTTAAATTGAACAGTTAAGTTCCATCAGGCGGCAAGAACAGAAATATAGAAAGAGTTTCCGGTTTGTGTATTCCTACCAGTTTTGTCTTTAAAATTAACATCGATTTCCGCTTCCTTTTCACCTCGACGCTTGCAGGATACTTTGATCCGCTTAAAGATCTATTAAAATACTGCGTGTAAGTGGACTTCAAATTTGATTATTACCAAAAATCATCTTTATGTATAATTTACTTGTATATCCCTCATTTTCGTTTACAAAGAATAATTTAAAATGTGTTTTTCAGCATTATGCCTGTTATATACGGTATGGCCGTAGGCCTTAACAAGGGTCTCAAATTGACTGAGAACAAAAGCAAACCCAGACCATCTAGAAGAAAGGGTGTAAGTAAAAAGAATATGTCGCTAAGAAACTTGAATTGATTGTTGAAAAAAATTGCAGGCTCTTACTAAAAGATCCAAATTTGTTCGCGATTTGATCCGTGAAGTGAGTGGATTTGCCCCGTATGAGCGTAGGGTTATGGAATTGCTTAAAATTTCAAAAGACAAGAGAGCTTTGAAATTCTCAAAGAAGAGGGTAAGTCAAAAAGAATGTAAAAAAGTTGGAGCTTCTAAATAAATAATTTTTATTTACAGCTCGGCTCCCACATCAGAGCAAAGAGAAAGAGAGAAGAAATGCAAAGAGTTATCCAAGCTCAAAGAAAAGCACAATCCGCTAAATAAATGTCTGATGTTACGGATACAATACATTTTTTGAAAGGTTAATCAATGCGTTTGCTTATTATTTCAATTTATCGAGATGATCAAGAATTTGTTTAGTCATTAAATTTCTTATTGATCTTACATGGAAAAGATTGAATATAAATAAGGTAGAATCATAGTTAATTCTTCTGTCAAATATTATAAATTATGTAATAGTTCACGAGGCAATTGTTATAGCCTTTTACCATTCTGATGTTTTTGATTCGTCCATTCAACAAAGTTTTTTGAAAGAAAGCTAATTAATATATTGGGCAAGCCAACGAAAACCTTCGCCATAACCTTGACGTTTGAGGACAGAACACATAAAAAGTTCCATGGGCCTTGTATGTAATTCGGAAACGGGTATTTGCCCCTTGCCAGTTGTCTTTCCGTGTATTCCCATCACGTGGCGAATATCTTCTTCGGAGCAAGCACCTTGAACATCTATTTTATTGCCGAGAACTAAAATCGGCGCCATCGCAACTTGTTCGTCAATAATCAAACTTTCTAATTCAACACGTGCTTCGTTCAAACGTTCTCGATCAGCTACGTCGACTAAGAACACGATACCATCCACAGCTGGGAAATAATCTTTCCAAACTCTTCTCGCTAAAAATCAAAATAGAATTATTTACTTGTCTCTGACAGTGATCAATCTTTTTTTTATACCTTGCTTATGTCCTCCTAAATCAAAAGTAGTGAATCTCATTCCTCCCATCGATAGCTCCTCTGATGTCGGATGAAGCGTTGGTACGTGTTGAGCCATTCGGTCATCCTTCAGCATGTGAAGCAGAGTTGTCTTGCCAGCATTGTCGAGACCCAGAAAGACGAGTTTTCCCGATTTTTTATACAGACCTATATAGATTTCATTCGAATATGTTAGTGTCACAGATGACTCAATCGAACAATTTTATACAGACCTAGAAAATTTAACACGCTCGAAAACCAATCCCACAAAAACATGTCCTCGGTTTAGCCTCCCTGTAGATGATAAAATCAAAAACATGGTGTTAATCATCGTTGTTTGCAGTTATTGACCTTTGTCAACGCGAATGAGAGCACACGAAAACAGGAATCTGGCTGTATGGTTTAGGTCTCACACAGAATAAAATTTATATTTGGAAAAATGATTAGAATTGACTAGAAAATAAATAAATCTAAAATCCACTTACCTACTCTATGTGATAGGAATCGACGAAAAAATTACAACTCACTAGCAAATACGTCAGCGCAGATGGTTACTTCCGGCGCAACGCAGTCAAATTTTATAATTAAATATAAAAAATTTTTCTACTGCATAATTTAATTTTAAGAAATTTTATAAGAAATTTACAATATTTTATTTTATATTATTAATTTATTTAGTGCGAGACTAGTTACCTTGACAACTGTAAATAAGTTTGTTTCAAGCCGAGATTGAGAAGGCATCTTTCAATCTCTAAAATGACCCGACCTTCCGAAAGAGAGGAAGAAAATCCTCGCAAGCAACAAGCTTTAGAGAGACTAAGGGATTTTGCTTTAGAGGAGGCCAGAGGAGGTTATCCTAACTCAAGACCGGCCTGGATTGGTCCTAGACATACCAATGCTGTTGAACCACATCCTTTAACGGTTACTCACGTTAACCAAGGATATATTTTACATGTTAATATTAAAAGTTTTACAAGAAATTAGTTCAAATTTAAGCTAAGCAAATTTTCTATAGAATGCCGATCCCTCAACAATAGCAAAGAGAGAATGCCAAAATTCATCCGAATGGTTAGGAAAACACGGTGTAGAAAGTAAAGGTTTATTGCTAAAAGAGCTGGTTAGCAAAGGAAAGATATGCAGACCAGAAGTATCAGAAGGTAACAGAGTTCAGCAAAAAATCTCATTCGAAGCTCAAGACATTCACGAATTTGAATTGCGATTAAATCAGTGCGTATAATTTATTTAATGACCTTTTAATACAGACTATATAATCCTAATTTAACGCTATCCATTACAGGGCAATAAGCGAATATACCGATAGGATAAAATGGCTTCTTCAAGATAGCCGAAGGGTAAATTGTTTAATCTTTCTTCTCACTTTAATAAGAAAACATCATATTTTCCATTTAATCATTTCGTTAGATGTTTGGCCTATTACAAGGACGAAGAGTTGCAGTTCTTCTCGATTGTTCAGATGCAAATTGCGGTTTTGGTAGATTGACAAATTACCAACAATGTTTATTAGTAAGTGTTGTTACATTCAATTGAGTTAATTTCTAATTATATTCTTTAATTTAATTAACCAGCATCTAATAGATGATCAATTGTCCACAAAGGATAAAATTTATTTGGCATCTTTTGGCAGTACAGTTACACCTCTGTGGCCAGATTTAGTTAATGTAAATTTGCATACGTAAGCATTCTTTAAACATCTAAACTGTATATGGTAAAATTATCTTCTCTAATTGTATTATCAGATTAAATGAGGCAAAAGCTTGGGTCAACTGCTTCGAACCTTCCGGAGGATGTAATCTATTAAAAGCTATAAAATTCGCTTTGAATAGTAAAACTGATTTTGATTCTCTTTTAATAATTTGCGGAGCAGTACCCGATCAGCCTTGCGAGGTTCTTTGTTCATATGTAAGTGAACTTTTGATTGGGAGGCAAATGAAGATAGCAACAGTAGCTTACGACTGTAGCGATCAGAATGTAATGACAACTTTACGCCGGATATCCGAAACTTGCGATGGAAGGTATCACTGTTATGCTGCAACGTGCGAGGAGAGTATATATACTGGATCGGATATATCCACCCTGCTAAAGGAAATACAAACGGCACAAGACGTTCTCAATAAAATTGGAGAGATGAAGAAAGGCCTACTGGGAACCGCTTTAGTTAGAGTTATGTCGGAAATAAACGAAGAAATAGTCAAATTGCCTCAATCGAGATTATTACCTCAACCTCCAGGTCATACAGATCCTTTGTGTATTGAAGGAGCTACAATACAAGAAAGTACATCGCTCGGCTGGTTAGACCGACATGGACTAAGAGCCCAGCGCCTTGACTTGTATCAGGTTTTGGCTCCGAACGCCTATTCGTATTGCGAACAATACGTACCAATATTAAATAAAATGGTTCAATCGCAAGTTCACGAAAAGACGATGGCTCAATGTAACTGGATTGACGGCACAATCAAGAATGTTCACGTCGATTTAGCTCAACTGTACGATTATCAAAAGAAGTTGGGTGTTGCTGTCAGACTATACGAAAAGCGAGTTGAATGGTTAGCAAAATCAAGTAGAGCCTTATTTGGGACAGTTGTTGAAGGAATTGTTGTTATATGCGTTGATTTGTGTTCCTTAAATACCCCTTACTTAGTACACATTCAACATTCTCTACGATTACTTCTGGAACAGCAAATGAATAAAAAGAAACTATTCAATCTTATAGTATTTGGATCAGAAGCCAAAGCTTTTCAGCCCCACGTCGTTAAACCAACGGCTCAGAATCTCCAAGCAGCTTGGGCATGGTTGTTAGAGCAACAGTGTTCCGGATCTAGAAATCTGCTGGGTGCTTTACGGATGGCGTTCGAGTCAGCAAGAGAGCAAGATCATAATATTCAAGTGGAAGGTGTCTATGTAATGACCAGCGGTATTCCAGACCAACCGCGTAGCGTTTTAACATCGTACGTTCAAGACGTCTGCGTTGCTAGGTACAGTTCCGTTCATATGATTCTCTTCAATGTTGACGACTACGATTCGAGCGGAGCGATACCATCACGCTATGCCAATATTACAACAACGGCTGATTGTTTAAGGGCAGTAGCACATTCGTCAGGAGGACGTTTCCATTGGTTCCGTGAAACAGGTGTTATAGAAAGTGACGACGTAAACCTTCTAACAAATGAAATAGACAAGGCTTTGAATTACAGTAGAAAGTGCGCTGTTTTAGTGAAATCTGTAAAGAAAAAGATGTCTGCAGAGAATCAAGCACCTTCATCGCAGTCGTTATCAGCACCCTTTCCTCGTCAAGCCCTGCCTGCCCCTTCGGGTACTTCTCAAACCTCTTCGTTGACAAGACCTAGGTCTGCTTTAAAATTGAAAAAGACTCCGATTCTTGTAAAGAAGGAGAACGTTAGAGAGAAGGCTAAAGAAAGCGTCAACGAGGTTCAAGAAACCGGCCGTTCTTGGTTGTCAAAACATAGTTTAAAACGATTAAAAATTGACTTGGATTCGTTACTCCACTCGGCTCCCGATTGTAAGCACAAGCGCCATCTAAATGCCAAAAGTCGAACATGCTCGATTTTCCCGAGCGTTACTTATAAGGGTACAGTAAGACATCTTCAACTTTTACCGAATGACTTGGACGATTATATAAGGAAAGTTGATAAAGCAATTAAGTCTTATGCTAGACGAATGCAATGGCTTCTATCGTCCAGTAGGCGAATATTCGGCGTTATCTGTGAGAAGAATATTGTAATTCTCTTAGATACTTCCGGTTCCATGATTCAATACGTAGAACACTTGAAACAAGCCGTAGCAGCCTTAATTTGGGAACAATTGGCTCGTTACAGAATAAACTTTACGATAAAGACTTTTGACGATGAAATTCAAACATTTAGATCTCAAATAACGTCAGCGAGCTCTGAAAATTGCGAGTTAGCTGCTAAATGGCTGTCTGGAATTACGGCTAAGGGTAATACCTGTACACTGGAAGCCTTAGAGGATGCTTATAACTTAAAACCAGATTCAATAATATTGCTAAGTGATGGAAAGCCAGATACGAGTACCAATAAAATTTTTGACTTTATTAAGCTACACGAGAAGATACCAATTCATACAGTATCGTTTGCATGCGAAGACGACGGAGCTAATCATTTTTTGAATGAGTTATCAAAGTATACTTCCGGTAGATATCATAGAGCGATCCTATCAGATACCGATGCTATAGATCTTGCTATTCATAAATTGACAATTGAAGATGAAATTGAAACTTTAGAATTACCTAATATGGACGGTGATGACTTAAAGTTATTAATGAAAGAAATAGACAAGGGTCAACAATGTATTAAACAAGCAAAGACTTTTAAGCAACTTTATGAGAAGCAATCGGAGAAAGCCGAGAAAGTTAAATAAATGAAGAAACTTTTACAATATTACTGTTTTTCTTTTGCTGTTTTTATTCCTTTGAAATGTTAATTTATTATATTTTTTTTCTTTCTATCCTCTATCATTTATACTCTAGTTTGCTTTCTCTTATCTTCAAAAAGACTACGAGTAACTAACTGATAAGATACTGAAATATAAAAGAATGTTTTTAAAAATCTCGAGTTACGTTAATAAGTTATAATTATTATTATCATTGATAGTTGTAATAGTTTTGTGACTAGATGATAGACCATTTTGTTTCAGATCACTTCAAAGCAATTTTAAACAATGCAACAAAATACTGCAGTATCGAATTTGTTTTCTTCTCTAATTCTCTTCTTTATCAATTTAGAAACGAATTAAAAGGGATAATAATTAACAATAAGCAGGAATGATTAAGTTTAAGTCTGTGTTGTAACAAGGAAAGGAGAAAATAGGAGTAAATGTTTGTATACACCATTCTTTTGTCTTGTTTCGTAATTCAACAGTAATACTTTACTAGCCTTCTTTCACCATATACGTGTTCGTTTTATGGAATGCAGTAGGTGATTAATATACTTTTAACTCTTTTTCCGTTTTGTTCCAATAATTGCTGGATCAGGTCTTAATTCTCTATACATAACTAATTCTTTGTCAGAGGGTACTCTTGATAGGAAGTCTAATAATTCGTTGTTTGGAATTGCGTTAGGAGCTCTAAGTTTCTTTGTAAATTTATTAATACCTATTCAAAAAAATTCATTAAGAATTAAATAAATAAAGTGAATTACTACGTACCAAATAGTAGTATGAGATATCTCAAAGGAATATAATAAAAGATGACGGAAGCTATAATAAGTACAACAACAGCGAGCCAAGACAACCAGGGGACAACCCAATTAAAAGTGCTGTTTTTATCAATAGAAATACAAACTAATTAATTTCGGTCTGCTAATATAAATTTATATATTTATATATATTAGTTATTGATTGTAATTAATTAATATATTTATAGTTCCAAAAAATACTATTACTTTTTAACATGCTCTCCTAAACAGGCCACTTTATCCATTCCCTCTTGAATTTGTAGGCCCAGTTCTTGTATTTGATGTAATTTTTCTTTAAAGGATTTCTTACCCTCCTGGACAATAAATATGAAAAGAGGACTATAAAAATATTCTATTGTCAATTATATTGAAAAATATAAGAATGCAAAATGATAGAAAACGATTCAAGCATACTTAAAAGCATAATATATATATATATACTATATATATATATATATATATATATATAAATTTTTAATATGTAAATATTACAAATAAACAACAATAAATTATTTATAATAGCTTAATAAAATATGAATAATAAAACAGGAAAAGAGAAAACTTTTCCCATTATTGAAATAAATACGCACATAATATTTACTTACTATATACATTATATAATGTATATACTGTATATACATAAATTGAAAAGAATTTAAAAGCTTATAAATGTATTAAACATTTATAGAAGTGAGATAATTAAAGTTAAAAAAAAAAGAGAGATTAAAACAAACAAAAACGATAAATTATAAAGTTATTTAAAAAATTAAAAAAGAAGCCTACGTTACCTTCTGTATGTTTTGGTGTGAGTGTATGTAATGAAAAATATATTTTATTTACTCTGAATTTATCCTATAAACTTAAAATATACAAGCAAAGTTGTATAATTATATAATATAAAATATAACAGATACTGTATATACTGTATATTTATAAATTTAATTTACATACCCTGTCTTTGTCATCGTCTTCGTCGTCGTCTTCCTCGTCAACGTAATCCTATATGAATAATTAATATTATTTTGATACACAAATTGTAAGATATACGTTGTGGCGTCTATGATTACAAATATGCTTACATCGATATCCCTCTCTTTTTGAAAGTGACCAACGACTTGAACAATTAGTAAATTTTTAAGAAATATTATTAAAACTGTTATAGGAAGCATATATAACTCAAAATTCCATACGACGATAAGAAAAACAAGAAAAGCTGATGTACTGCGAGCTTTCGATTCCCAATCGAAACAACTTTGTATAAATCTTCCAGTTTCTATAGCAGCTTGAGCTAGTCTAGAAACGCGATTAATATTTCTTTTCATAATAGCCATTTTAAATTTAGGTTCGGGTTGCATATATTTATCCTCTTTAGTATTGAAAGTTCGTATAGCCGCCTTAAACTGTTAATCAGAACAAATAAACATGTTAAAAATCCATTTAAATTAAAAAGTAATTAATAATTAATGGATTTAGATGAGCATTGACAACAAATAATCTAAATAATAAAAATGGTAGTCAAAAGAAGATAACTAGAGCCATTATTATATAAATTTTTAACAGTTGTCCAATTTGAAATCTTACATGATTAAATATTAAATCCAATTCCAGTAGAATAGCTCCTTTAACTTTAAGTATCGTTTTCTTGTCTTTAAGTTGATACCATCTTTTTTCCCTATTTCGTATCTGTTCAACGTTTGATTTTGGAGGAAGGGGCGGGAAAAAAAAGAAAAACAACACGATACAAAAAGTTTGCCATGCAAAAGAAAGTATATATAATTTTTAAATTATATGATAGCAATAAACATTATTATAATATATTAATCATTGAAAATTGACAAAAATAAACTCTACTATACAGTAAATACTGTAAAACATTCATAATAAGTCTCTATTCAACTAAACTATAGTTCTTATTATACTTTATAGTCTATTGATATATCTTTATATATTGAATATTGTATATTTAATATAAATATATAAAGGTAAAATCAAGTAAGAGCTGGATGGGTAGAAAATTGAGGGAGACGGGTAAAAATAATCTACAGTCAACGGTGTGTATATTTTGTCTAACATCGATAATTCTTACATGATTATAGATTAGGTCCAATTCCAATTCAATTGCCCCTTTTGCGCTATTAATTAACTTCTTATCTTTTAATGTAAACCATTTTCTTTCAAATGGTTTAATCTGTTTTTACACCTTAAACGAATACTAAATCGTCCTGATAAAAATAGAAAGCCGTCTATTTACCTTAATTAATGGTAAGGCTATCTTTCCTAGAAATTCAACTTTTTTATCTCTATCTTCATCGTAAACAGTTATCTCCAAAGCCGAGTGGATATCTTTTACATTGAACGTAAATATTTTCCCCCATTCAGGAGATAATGTTTTATATTCTGTTTGCGTTTGTAAACGGTCGTTGACGAGTTCAATAACACAGAATGGATCACTTTTTCCACCTATGTCAGCAGCGGCCAATCCCCTTGCTCTAATCACTGTGTTTAATAAGAAAATATTTGATTAGGCATAGAGATAGGTTTGAAAGTTTAAATATAATAAAAAAAACAGTAACCTTTAACTTGTAACCAACCAACGTCCCTTATATGTCGAAAACTATTTAGTATGCCATATTTTCTTACTATGTTTTCTCTATCTTTAGGATTTGGTTGATGGGTCGCGAGATCGGAAACAGTTTCGCTACCAGTCGTACCAGTCACAGTTAATAATAAATGAACTATGCCCGCTCCATCCTCTAATTTGTAATGAAGAGAATGAGTTGCTTCAGTCTTAAATTCAGATAAATCAATGAGACAACGACCCATAAAATCATCTCGACCACCCGAGTCGTGATCCCAAACCGACAACTCTAAATGCGAAGTTTGATCGTCAAACATGTGAAGGTTAAATTGCTCTAACCAGGTTGGTTTCAAAGTTTTAGGTTTCCATTTTGATTTATATTTCTCATTACCCAAACGAAATTTAACGTAAGGGTCGCTAAATCCATTATCGTCCATCGGTAATAAATCTTCAGCGCTAACTAACACGATACTAACAACCGAAGACCATATTTGAGTTTTCATCCTCTTAGAATCATTAAAACGTCCGTGCTTCCTTGTAAACTGAATAAATAATTAAATATAAAATAACAATTTCCAATTTAAATATTAGATAAGATTAATAATGATAATTAAGACTTTTCTATTTCAAATATTAACAAAACAAGTTTATGTAAGGTATAAAAAAAACATAAACATACTGTATACTGTATATAAATGTATATACTGTATATATAAAATATTACTATATCTACAATAGGAAAAATATGGGATATAGAGTAAAACATTAAAAGGATAGAGATGTTTTAAAATTGTACATGCTTTAAAAAGATTCATATATTTATACTGTATATATAGTATATACAGTATATTAGTATATGGTTTATTCCTACTACACATATATCTCGTATACAACATAAGCGATTAACAGCTTATTAAATGCTGGACATTAGTTTTTTATCATTGAATAGATAGTTTACAGTATATGGTATTATATACACGGCATACAAAAAAACAAAAAAAAAGGTTTATGTTGACTACATACATATGTATATACTATATAAAGGCTCTAAAATGTTTATATACATATATACACATATATAAATCTATATATATATATATATTTATCTATACAACAAATGCTTTACCTTTGGAGATTCTACCGTTACGTTCTGATAATAAAAATCATATACATAGATAGTTGATTTTTGTTTATACGTTTCTTTTTAAATGTTGTTTCTTTTACTTTATAAAATGTTTATGGAAAATGGAAAAAAGAGTTTAAATAAATAAGAAAATAGAAAAAAATTTAATGAATTCAGAGAGAAACGAGTATTCTAAGATAAGAGAGAAAAAGAAGAAGCGATTCAATAAGAAATTTAAGAAATATAAATGAAAGAAAAAAAACATAATTTCACTTACATGATCTTTATCTTCCTGAGATTTGGGAACTAAATTAACTTGCAAGAGTAAATAGCCCATATAATCTTCTCTCACTTTACCATTTCGATCGGGTTGCAGATTCAATTTCAAATCAGTTGAACTAAAGAATAAATTGATTATTAGATTTTTGTTCGATGAAACTTAAAAAAAAGCGTTAAACATTTATACGACTTACTTATTTATATCTACAGATGTTAAATCGATTACCGCCTTGCCCATTGGATCATCTTTTGGTCCTCTATCGTAGTCGAATACTTTTACAGAAATAGGAGCAAAAGGGTCCTCTATGGGAATAGTAAATTTTTCGTCCCATTGAGGATTCAAGTTTTTAAATAGAATTCGACTTTTATAATATTGTTTTCTGCCAATCTTAAAGATAACATAAGGATCACTAGTACCTGTTATACGACCGAAAAAGAATGATCAGAAATGATTACGACGGTTATAGAGAAAGATAAATTACCGCAAGAATCTCTTATAACCAGATCTCTGCCTTCCTTTAGCACAACTTCGAGATGAAAAAATGGATAACTTCTTAATACGTGAGCTCTTTGCCTTAGTACGTTCACATCCTCCTATAAAAAAGCGATTAATGAAACCATATTTGTGCGTGTAGGGACTTTTACCTGATCACCTACAGTAATGCCTGAATCCCTTTCGTTTTCATTGTTCTCAGCTGCCAATAGTGGTAGCATGGCTTCACTGCACGATTTATCCCTCGTTATGGCAAACGACGACTCTTTAAATCGGGTAGTCGGTTGAAGTGGGTGATCAACGGAAGAGCCTTCATATTCGGTTGAAGATTGCCTTTTGCTCGACCCGAATAATTTCTCTCGGGACCTAGAACGTAATTTTCTGGCCTTATTCCTGAGACTATAAAAGAACTTTTGCTTTTTTCTCTTGGACGTTTCCTTTAAGTTTTCCGATTCAAGAGAGACATCGCCAGAACTTCTCGATCTGTGTTCCGAATCGACCGTACTCCCTTTTGAACCTATCATTAATAAACTTATCATTTCTTATAAAAAAAGACACAAAAAAATAGATAAAAACGGGGGAAGACACGCACACACACAGACACACTCAAAAGAATTACTCATATATCAAAACTTGTCTACAGCTAAGAATATTCGTTTATAACGAGAAAAGAAAACAATGCACTAAAAATAACGTGAGACAAATAATAATTACTTAAATTTCTACCAAACAAAACTTACTTAACGACATTAAGGTTTCATCTGAAGGACTACGTCTTACATCTGCAGACAGTGCGGGGAAATCGGACTCGGGTAAACAAAATTTTTCTGAAATTAACTTCATAACATAAAAGGACAAAAAAAATCAAAATAAAAAGAAAAATAACAGAATGAAAATATATTAAGCATGCAAAAACAATGGTACAAATTAATAAAGATGATGGAGTTTAGGGAAATGGAAGGAAATTAAGCAATATCAAAAGTTGTAAGTTAAAAATTTACATTAAATAAGACAAAAAGCTTAGAAAGCGTTAAATATATATATAAAGTTATACTGTATATTTATATGTAAATTTATGCGCACAAAAAGTTAATCTATAATACAAAAAGCATAATAAATATTTTATTAAATTTTTTTTCTCTATCATCTTTATGTATCTGTTTTTTTTTATTGTTTTGTTTTTCTGTAGAAGCAGTTGTTATTCTAACGTTTTTATTAATTTTTTTTAATATATTAATAAAAAAAATTATGTAAATAAAAATATAAAAAATAGAACCATGAAGAGAGAGAGAGAGGAGGGGGAGGAGGAAAAGAGTGAGAGTGAGAGATGAGAATATATCAGTAGTGATATAGATTAGTCAATAATCCAATAAACAACATTAGCTCCCTAATTGTTATAAGGCGTTTGTTATTAGTTTGCTCAATTCCTAAGGCGATTAAATTACTTGTATAATACCTCCCATATTATTATTTTCCTTCCTCTCATCAATTTCAGGTATTGAGGTTACAGGTGATGTTTCACGCAATCGTTTACGCTTTTTAAAGGTTTCTTTAGTTTGTTTCATTAAAAATATGATAGAAAGAAAAGAAAAATAAAAATAAAAACATTTTCTAAAATCTTATTATCGCCTATCATTACTATTGTTCCTATAAAAATATCGATCATTTTTTGGCCATTTCGATGGAATTAAATAAATGTTTTAAAAAAATATAAGTGCGAAACTACTCATAGAAAAAGATGTGTGTAATGCATATTTATATGCTGTATACACTGTATATATATATATATATATATAAAATAAACCAAAAAAAAACATTCGACTGAGTAAAGTAACAATATTGATCTTTGAAGAGGTCGACAGCTGAGTCAATGGATAAGGTGGACGTGTCTATATTTGTAATTAAAAGGCATGCTAACACGCATATTAAAAGGATAGATTAAGTTATAATGCATCATTTTATTCTATTTATCCCCATTTTTCACTTTTTCTATTCATTCATTCATTCATGCATTCATTCATTCTGCTTTTCTTCTTTTATTAATATCAGCTAAAACTCTCTCTCTCTCCCTCTCTCTCTCAGTCTATCACAAAATATTTTACTTTACGTGGTTTTTTTTTCTTTTTTTGCAAATGCAGCATATAAGGGTATTACTAAATACATAAAACTACTTTTCATGCATTCTCAAATAGAACTTACGACGCGGTGACGTGCACCACATGGTCATAAACCAAAACTTCATTGACTAACTGAAATAAAAGTAACCTGATTAAATATGATGTCCTAGATTTTTTGAGAAAAGAAGTATAATAGTAATAAAATGACTTTTTTGGTGATAAAATGGAAAAAAAATAGAACTACCCTCAAGTTCACACTATGAATTGATAAGTTTTACATGTCAATTACGATTTAATACGTCTTAGTCATTCGTGTAAGAAGATATAGAAATATACAGTATGTTACATACCTCGAACACTGTTCAAACTCCATGAACTGAATCGCCATTTCCTCGTTAAGCCTGTTTACATTGATAGCACTCAACTATGTTTTACAACGAAACAATTCCCTATTTCATTTGTTACTAAGCCATTGTATTATTCATATTAACCATTAAACGGTAATATATACATACCTTCTTTTCGATTTTTTGACTTTTCTTCACCATTCATAGTTTTTATTAAAATAAATTTTTTAAGTAAGACCTAATCAAGATATGAGAATCATTACCAATACGTTTTATATAGCTAGACCTGTGCAATTGCTACTGTCACAAAGAGTCTTCAAAAGATATTGAGAAATCAAGAGATAAATTATTGGCAAATTTATACGATAGATGGCAATGAATGTAAAAGATATGGTGCGCAGTCTGTTTTACTTTGTCAGCCGCAAATATGCAGTCACAGCTCGATTCCAATTTTAAAGCGGAAATAGAGTGCGCTGTAAACCGGAAATCTTATTTTGGACATCGAAAAAATGATGCGAGGAGCGCCGGTTATCGTGTTAAGTCAGTTTTAGCTCATTTTATACAAGATTCGTTTAATCACACTTTAAATACTTTTAGTATTAATTAGTGATTTTTTATAGATGGAAATATCAAAAGAGAACAAGGAAAGAAAGTCCAGTTAGGCAATGTTACCGCTGCTAAGGTAAAATCACGTTGTCACGGCATGTGATAATGCTATGTGAAGTTGGAATTTATCGTTAAATTTGTAAAATTTCGCCATCGACTTCATATAAATAACAATAAATCGCCATAATTTAACTAATTATCGAAAATTTTTCAGACAATCGCGGACGTCATTAGAACATGCTTGGGCCCGAGAGCCATGTTGAAGGTAATGAGCATACCAAATACTTTAATCAGTCATTTACTATAATTTCACGATATTCTAGTAGATTTTCTCCTTAAGATCTAATTACAGATAATAAGCAATCTATCAAATGTTCTTTCAAGATATTTTTACGTCAATTCTAACGAATTTCATTTAAAATTAGTACTTATTTAAATTGGATCATTCACTGCAACACTCCTTTCTTCTTAGGTTTATTAGAAAATACTCAAGAATCATTTTTATTCTTCTCGAGTATACAAATATAATTTAGTTATTTATCCTAGAGAATGTTTGTACCAGTTTGTTTCCAGTTTATGACAAACACCCAAAGTACAATTTATTTATTTATCTACTCTGTTTATCAATTTCTCTTATAGCCATACAAAATAGTTTGGTGACTCATCACTCGTACATCTTCCTTGTAACAAAAAGATAATTTTGTTGACAATACTAAGACCAATTTATCACAATTAAGGTAGAGTTCTAAGAAAATTTCACTATCAATTTTTTTGAAAAATCTCTTCTCAAATATACTTTTCTGTTTTGAATTGCATTCTTTTTTTTGTAATTTCTTTTATTAATATTTCATATCATAATCACTCCCCCATTATAAAACATCATATGCGTTATAAAATCGTATACAAAGCACTCTAGATAACTGAATAATTTAAGGTGTCTGTTAATAACAACTGCCTCTAAGTTGGCTCTTGTGGAATTTTTTCGACGTAAAGTAATCACATGTCTAAGATTGCATTAACGACATTTAAAATATGCACGTACACTTAAACTATCTGTCATGTGTTTTCAAAAGAAAACAAAAAAATACTCACCTGATGGTAGACATAGGCAGTTACAACCCAGCATATCTGTTAGAAAGATAAGCTAATGCTTGTAGATGGAATATCAATATTAGTCGCGTTTGTTCTTAACTTATTTGTGAGTGTTGTACTGCTTTGCAGATGTTGATGGATCCAATGGGCGGCATAGTTATGACGAATGACGGAAACGCCATCTTGCGAGAGATTACAGTTCAGCACCCGGCTGCAAAGTCTATGATTGAAATTGCTAGAACTCAAGATGAAGAAGTTGGAGATGGAACAACGTCTGTTATTATTCTTGCTGGAGAAACGCTGTCTATGGCAGGACCCTTTCTTGAACAAAAAATGCACCCAACGGTTATTGTCTCGGCTTATCGTCAAGCCCTAGATGACATTATAAGTCTGCTCAGAGACAAGATCTCTGTACCAGTTGACGTAACAAATAAGGATGAAATGAAGAAAATAATCAACAGTTGCATTGGAACAAAATTTATGAGTAATTGGTCTGACTTGGCTTGCGACATTGCATTAGATGCCACTAGCAAGGTAGCTCTTACCGAAAATGGTCGAAGGGAAATCGATATTAAGAGATATGCAAAAGTTGAGAAGCTACCGGGTGGTAGTATTGAAGATTCGGAAGTGCTAAATGGTGTAATGATAAATAAAGACGTCACCCACCCACGTATGAGAAGACGTATAGAAAATCCTAGAATTATGCTACTTGATTGCAATTTGGAATACAAAAAAGGAGAAAGTCAAACGGCTTTAGAAATCTCTAAGGAAGCGGATTTTACTCGTATTTTGCAATTAGAGGAGGAGTATATTAAACAGATCTGTGACGACATAATTGCTCTGAAACCAGATTTAGTTATAACTGAGAAAGGAGTTTCGGATTTGGCACAACATTTCTTGGCCAAAGCCGACATCAGTGTAATCAGAAGGTTACGTAAAACCGACAACAATAGAGTAGCCAGAGCCGTTGGAGCTAACATTCTCTCTAGAACCGACGAAGTTAAAGAGGAGGACATTGGAAAGGGCTGCGGCTTATTTGAAATTAAAAAAATAGGAGACGATTATTACACTTTTATTGTCGATTGTAAAGATCCCAAGGCCTGTACTATTCTCTTACGTGGAGCTTCGAAAGATATCTTGAACGAGGTGGAGAGAAACTTACAAGACGCCATGAATGTTGCTAGGAATGTCATGATTGATCCTCGCTTAGTTCCCGGTGGTGGTGCCGGAGAAATGGCTCTGTCGCAACTGCTGACTGAAAAGGCTAAGTCTATCACTGATGTTAAGCAATGGCCATACAAGGCAATTGCGAAAGCATTAGAGGTTATTCCTAGAACCTTAATTCAAAACTGCGGAGCCAACACAATCCGTACACTGACAACTCTAAGGGCTAAACACGCAGCTGGAGGGTCAACCTGGGGTATTGACGGAGAGAAAGGAGTTTTGGTAGACATGAAGGAGCTTGGCGTTTGGGAACCATTTTCTGTTAAGGCTCAAACGTACAAAACTGCTATTGAAGTAAGTTACGAAAAATATTTAATAATGTTTTTCCGTAGAAGAATGTTTCTAATATATTAAACAATTTCAGACTGCCATTCTTCTCTTACGTATTGATGATATCGTCTCCGGAACAAAGAAGGCTGGTGCTCAACAGGAAGCTCCAGCTCCTCAGGGAGGTCAGCCACCCATGGAAAATTAACTTAGCAAGCTTTATATTCGTGTGCATTGTTACAGAATAACATGTTTATTCTTTCGTATTCATCCTCTGTCGTCACTTTTGATAATTTTGAGTTTGCAATAAATAAGTAAGCTTTCCAATTAAATACATGGACTACTGAAACGTGCCTCCTTTCAATGTGCACGACGTTAGAAAAAGATTTAATGAGAATTGTAATTACTTGTGATAGAGTATTATGTATATACTGGTATAAGAAAAAAAGAATTCATTCTTGGTATTTAGTAGTTGGACATTTAAAAGAAGTGATTCTTAAGCAAATGTTTATTACCGACAGAATAATAAACTAAAACGCAAATACGAAATAAAAATATTCATTATATAACAGACAATTGCCATACTTGACAAAAAGGATAACTAAATAAATTTTTAAGAAAACTGTGAATTAACCAAGATTATTCTTTCGTGTTGTCATTTCTTTTTTTTGTTTATGAATACATACACTTCACGAAAGATTTCTAACTAACAATCTATTGTCGCTGTTTAATTGGATTGAAAAAAAAAACACATTTAATCATTTTCGCTGTTCAATGAATTAATCTAGGTTAGCGGGTAGATACAGAGAGAAAAGAAACACTATTGCTACTAAGGTAAATACATATTGTTAACTTAGGAAAAAAGTCGTCTAATCAATGTAAAATGTCATAATTAACACTGATTAATTTACCAAGATCAGGTAAAAATGACAGAGTTTATAAGGCCAATGTTCCATAGGTAGGAAGTAGATGATAATGGTTGATGAGAAACAAAATGGATTTTTTTATTATAATCTTTACTTATAGACTATCCTATTACAGGGTCAAATTCATCTTCAACTTCTTTATTTTGTGATAAAAAAATGATTAAATAGGAACGAAGGCACGAAGAATGGAATATAGAGAAACGATTCAAACAAATCTATGTTTTTTAATCGAACACTTGAAAGAAGAGTATAAATTGGTTAAGATTCAATGAATGAATGCTTGAAGAAGAGACTTAATATATGCAAGTTATTTATCCTTATTTTGATATATTTCACTATTTACAAGGTCAAAAACATCAAGGGTTTTTGTCGAATCCATTTTGAAAGGATTCTCAGCCGCCCTCAACCATATTGTAAAGTGTATATTTGCAACCCTATGGCTATAAGTTTATAAAAACGAATAAATAAAATAGGAAATATTCTATCCTTATTAACAGGGAATGACTTATAACAATAACAACAATAACAACAACAACAACAATAACAATAACAACATCAACAATAATTAAAATATCTATTTATTTATACGTATATTATAGTTGAAATAATTTCAACTAATTTGTAGAAATAAGTGACCTTGATAATGGATAATCAAATATATATATAAATATTAAATATTTTCCTCTTTTTACTATTGACAAAGTAACCGACGTGAATTTATTTCCTTGTAAGCAAAAGTTTGATCTAGAATTTCGGCTAAGTCGAGTTAATAGCCCGATTCATACGGACTGCATTAAAGCCATTAGTTGGTTAAATAATAGTTGAACAAACAGCTTAAATCATTCATTCATTCTTTCTCTCTTTCTCATACTCTCTATTTTCGCCTTAAAATATTACTTTCGTAACTTTTTCTCCCAATCCTTCCCACTTATAGTTGTAAAGACCTTATTAAGTATTTATTCTTAAGTCTATATATATTTATATATATATATATATACTTTTACATATATAGGAATCTTTAAGTATTTTTGAAAATTTGACTGATCAGCCAACCAAATCTATGAAAAAGAAAATCTTGTTAGAGTGAATTTTTTCCCGCCATTTATTTGGCCTATAATTAATAGTATTATTTATTGAAGAATATAACGAAAGCCGTTTAGATTTTGACGCGAAAAAGTCATTCATAATTGTTATTTAAGTAAACATGTAAGATAAATAAATTAAAATTAATATTTTAGTTGAGTTTAATCAAAAATTTATTAAGTTTTTTGTGTTTATTATTGATTAGTCTATTTATTACTTGTATCAATCCTCAAGAGAACGAAATAGACCGAGCGATAAAGGCATACTTAGCCAATCAGAAGTGTCGAATTGCCCTTGGTTACCTCTAGTATTAAGGCAACGGAAAGTTTGTATTATCCTGGCAACAAAGAATTGTAGCAAAGATTGCTAGGAAATGGCTTACTCTTTCGAACATATTAATAGAAGAAAAGCAACGCATATAAATGCTGACACAAGAAACCTTTTAGAATGTCCAGAAAGGGAAAGACCCGTCCATAATTACGCCGATGGAGGAGATGGAAAATCGCAAGTTTGGCAAGGTCATGGTTATTATAACCCAACAGATCGTAGCTGGCAAAAGCACCACGAAATTAAGGCTTTACCAAGAGAAAACGTGCCGCATAGAATCGAGTTCCAATCTGAAAAACAATGGGTTGAATATATGAAGAAGAGAGATATACCAGGATCCGGTCCTAAACAGGCTTCTTCTGGTTGGAGGAATGCTCCGGTTACTGCTCTCCAACTTCAAGGCTATGCTTGGAATCCGTTTAATCTTTACAGAACAGGAACTCCGGCTATTACAATGTACAACGCCCACGTACCGTGGCCAACTGCTGACACGGCTAGAAGATTTCCTACCTGGAGAGGACCAAAATGTAAAGATAATCTTTATATTCCCACCTTATTTGTTGTTCTTTTACAAACAAACGCTTTACTATTCACAGCATACTACGGATACTATCACGAAGAGTTGGATGTCCATCACGCAGGTGGTTATAGATATCCTCGAGATCCGAGGGTACTAGTCAACGACGAGGACATTATCAAGTACGAGTACATGCATAACACTCCAGAATTGCATTCGAAATCAGCTGTAGAACTTCCTGTCTTAACCTAATCTGCATTAAGTCTCAATAAAAAAAAGACACGTTTTGATTATTGATATATACATATAAATGAGGATGCTTTATGATCCGTAATCCTATTGTTTAGATTTGATCGCTGTTCTAATCTTCTCCTTCCTTTGTTCGTTATAAAGGAACATGACTGATTATTTTTTTTTTGTTTTTTTCCATGCTGGCAATCATGCGTTAATAATCGATATTGAAAGGGAAGAAGGGGAGCATAGGAGGCAAGGGAATGTCTCATATTAATCGGTACCCGCATAATGCTTAACAGTTCTATTCAAGATGAAAAGAGGAAGATAGATAAATAGGTTAAATACTAGTCGGGCGAGTTCATTTCGTTTGAACTTCTCGTGTTTCTCCTTTTGTCCCATACAAAAAAGGGTACAAATATCTGATCTATATACAGTATATATATATATATGTGTGTGTGTGGTCTACCAGTCCTTAAGAAGGGATAGGTATGAAAGAAGGGAAGAATGAGTGAATAGGAGATAAGAGGAAGAGATCTTTAAAAAAAAACCACGAGTACAAAGTTTAAAATTTTATTTATAAAGTTGTAAAATTAAGCAAAAGGAGGGTAAAAATTTAAAGGAATCTGGCGAATAATGACGCCGCAGCCAATTGAACGATTTTGAATGGACACAAAAAACGTCCGTGAGAATAGCTTGGCTGTCCACTGTCTATTGTAATGTCGAGAATAGGTGTTGTTCGTATAGGAGGAGGTCTAATCCTCTTCACACCGCAATGGGATTCCAAATTATTTTGAATTATTTCACACCTAAGTCTATCTTTAGTTTGACCGTTACATTTGCAACGCCTAAGGCGATTCCCTTGAACCATTGAATATAATATTTTAGCTGAACGTTTACACGACGGTTGACAGCTTATTCGACTCTTTCTAAACAACCCTTGGCAATTCTTCTGGAAATAGAGTAAAGCAGTAGAACAACGAGTTTCCGCTTCGCATAGCTTCAAGGATAAAGTACAGGCCACGTGATTATTCTTTAACGTGTTCAGCGTCTTTTCTACCCTTTCTTTGCATATTTCAATCTTTTTCCTTGGAATATAATAGACCTCACTCTGACTAGAGTTGCACGATGACAAAGCCGGAAACGAGTGGATTAAAGACACAATAGAATAGACGCAGTTTCTTTTACAGCGACGCCCATCTTCCGTACAATCATTTTGAAGATTAAGTAGGGCGTTATAACATCCCAGATTAAGAGAGCATCGGCCAAATGCTTCTGAGCACTGTTCTATTGACATAACATTTTTATCCAAACTATTTATAATTGTTAATACAATCAAATTCAAGCCTAGTAGAGACGCCCACGTCATTTTTACTTTCCAAAACCTAAATAGTCATAGTAAAAGGACAACGTGAATTTAGAAGAATCTCTCTATCGGCATGTGTCCTGTAAAAAAGAAGAGACTCCGCCTCTTTTCAAAATGATTGGCCAAGGCGTTTGGTTTTGAATAATAACCAACATTCTTTAGGCCTAAGGCGATTAGAATTATTGTTTTTTTTTATTGAAAAAATTCAATTGTTCAAGATTAGGTTAGAGAGAGAAAAAGAGAGAGAAGAGAGGGGAGAGAGGGAGACAGAAAATGTACTCGCCAAATAGTCAGGGTGCTTATAAAGTAATAACAGAAAGAAAAATAAGAGAAGAATGAAATGTATAAACGTAAATCAATCACAGTAATTGACCGCCTAATTGATGTATTGATTAATAGAATTTCCTATATATATATATATTAGGTCTTTTTCTATATTTCAGCAGGCAGTCGTCGTTTTACTCTCGATATTGCCGTTCAGACTTTTAAGAATAGAGGAAAATCATATTTATTAAGAAAAGGCTGTACAAACACTATGCGTTCGAACGAATGCCCGCAGTCTTGTTACTACTACTACTACCAGTAAGCAGGATTTCTTCAAAGGAGCGCCGTCAAAGAGTGGATTCGTACCCTTTACCATAAATACTATTAATAATAATAGAAGTGGAATAATGGTAGTTGGATTGAGGGTGTATCATTTCATACTATAACAGTACGACAGTTCTTTGATACGATTATTGAGTGTGTTATTCTTCGTTCTCCTCTTCCTGCTCCTCCTCCTCCTCTTTCTTCTTCTTCTTCCCAGCAATTGTCTACCAGGAGCTGTTGCATCTAAAATTTATCACTTTATCTCAAATTATTCCTAATCAAGTTATCTTGAAATAATTTATTTTTTGTTTCTATTGAATAATTGAGAGAAAAATTTTTTTTATCCAATTCGATTTATATGGCCGCCTATAAACTTTATAATTACGGCCATAAAGTTAAGCAAAGAACGCCGACGCCCGATTTGGATAAGACTTTAACGATAACGGCATTAAGGATATCATCAGATTTGGACATAGGTGGTAAATTCCTTCCAAGGTCTAGTTTAGTTCAAACGCCAACTATAAAGGTAAATACTAATAATATAAAAATATACATATTTATTCAAGTTGCTCATTTTTTTTAAACTAATAAATTCGGCTTAGATCGATGATTTCGAAAGTGAAAGCTCAGACGAAGATAGTGATCGTTGTCCAATTGTTAAAATGTACGATCTAGAGGAGGAAAGGGATCATATGGTGGAGGAGGCTCTAAAATCTTATCGAAATGCTCGGATTAGCGAAATGATGGGCAATAATTTCGAAAAGTCAACTCCTTCAAGGAGAGTTACCAGTGCGAGAGAATATCTCGGTTGGAAAAGAATGCCGCAAAGACCTCTTGGAACTTTAATGAATTTATTACCCAACAAAACGACAAGACCATCGACGGCTCCTGCGTGTCGTTCTAGTCTGTATGTCCATCAGATACCAACAGCGTCGATAGAACCTATCAGAGAAGTGGAATTAGCCAATAGAAATCAACAGCGGTAAGACTAATAAAAAGCTTATGTCTTTATAAGAAAAAATTGATTAGTTTTAAGACTTGAAAACATGCGCACGCATTTTACAATTTATAGTCCTCACTCTTTTTTTGTCGACGTTTGGACAGCTGTGGCTTTTTTTTTTTCTCTTTCACTTAGTTAGTTATAGCATCTATCTTGGCCGTGCAAGTATGTCTCACCATAGAACAGTAACCCCTAGACCGTACTATATGGATATTGCTAGACCTCCGAATCCATCCGGTCTATTCGGATTTGTTCAGTAGTTGAATTTATTTTTCTTTATCAATACTTTGCACAGATTATTTGGATTTTAAAAATATTCTATTTACACTTCTCCTTAAACGTAAAACGTTCTTTTATTAGATCAGAAAGGCACGTCTTTCCACCAACGCCAGTAGAAAAGTCTCCGAGAATTAAGAAGCCTAAAGAACAAGTCGCAAAACGACCTAAAACAGCTACGTCGGATACAAGGAGTATCCCTGCCGCTGGTAAGCCGTCTTATCCTCAAATGGAGCGTCAATCGCGAAGTACATCTACTTATAGTTCATTATTTCGCTCGGTTGGTGATAATCGTAAAAGATATTTTAATATTCATCCCGATTGGGTATCGGAAAACTTAAGTGTCGAAAAGTTAAAGATCTCCGAACAGCAACGCGCAAGGTGCAGATCGGCACCTGGCCACGGGAGAATACCATTAAGGAATAATCCAATAGCCTGGTCGGAAGATCTTTAAGAGGCAATTATTTACTAAAATTTCTGGCACGCGCTTTTTGGCTTCAAAAATACTTTTCGGTGCTTTTTCAACTTGCCTAGTCATGCTTTAATTTAAATTTACTTTTAATAAACTCGAAAATAATAATAAACTTATTACAACGTTATTATTTGTTCTTCACAAATTCTTCTTGCTCTCTCTCTTTTTCTACTTAAATAACACGAGATCACTGTATTTTGTTCTTTTTACTAATGTTTGGTGATATAAGGCGCATTATCTTGAATACGATGTTGAAATTCTGTAAAATAATAACACAATTAAATAGCAAAATAAAATTCTTTTATGAATATTCGATAAGTATAAATACATATAAACAGAAACAAATGTTTATTACTTACAGCAAGGAATAGGTATAAAGCGCCAAGATAACCGGCAATAGCCACAGCTAAAAACAAATCGAACACTGCAGGCTTAATGCTGTAAATGTTGACTACATATTCGTGTCCATCGTAGAAAATAAACTCAGGATCTCTGTATAACATTATATTAATTTTATATACCAATTACTTTTATTTCTTATTAATTCAAATAATACGAATAACAAACCTTTTGTCTGCCTTGATGTAAGTTTTCTTAGCGTCTTTTAAATATTTATTTAATGTGTAATATAAAGAATGAACTAAATGATGCTTATGATGAAGGATTTGAGCTGCTCTCGATTCGTTTGTCAAGACTGACAACCAAGATGAAACTAGTTCTTCGTCAACTTTCTACATAAAACGGAAGAAAGAAAAAAAGATGAAAGCATAGAATAAATTAATATAAGTTTTTGTGAAGTATGAAATCTGTACTCACCAAACTATCTCTTATGATTTCCGTATTATTTTTCGGAGTTAAGCCATAAGCGTATCGACCAAGAACTTCGGCCAAAATTCGAATATTTCGTGAGAGGACACTAACATCAACATTTTCGCTATAGAAAACAATAAATTAATGACTAAACTAAGTGAATGCATTCAGAAACTGAAAAAATACCGTGTATCGAGAATCGATTGTCGCAAGGACCCTTTATGCGTTTCATAAGCCGATAAAGTGACCGCCGGTATCCTACGAATACTGAAACGTTCGTGTTCCCAGGCTAGGAATTCATTGGCCAAGTTAATTTTCTTGTGTATCATTGTTGCTTGAATACCATTTTCGGCTGACACAGATTCTAAAAGCTGTTAAAAAAAATTCGATAACAAATGTCTTTTACGGATGAATTCATTTTGTCATACGTTTAAGATTGCATGGGCACTTGAAAACTCCTTAGGTGGTTTTGAAACATGCATATTTATTGCGTTGCCTTTTCCAATAGAGTCAATGCACAAAACAACTGAAACATCTTGAAGAAGTGTATTTTCACCGCTTTCCAACTGCTCCTCAATCCAACGTTTCGTTCCCTGATAACTAAACTTTCCCGCACTTGAGAGAAGAAATACTATGTTCAATCTATTAGATGAATAAATAAACTTATTACAAATCTGTATGATATTGTTACACGATATAAAAACAAACTTGGCATGAGTGCGTGAACTACTATATAGTTTGGAGAAAAGTCTTGCAATTTCTAGTAGGGCAATAACACCAGAAGCATTAGAATCTGCTCCTTTAGCCAAACCCTAGATGAGAAAATTTCATTAACATATTAGATCTCTTTTTTGAATAAACTATCGCGTATTAAGTTTCTATTACCGGTGCAATTCCTGTAGAATCGTAATGAGCTACTAGAGCGATAGTAGGTAATTGTTCTTCTACTCCATTGCCTGTCAATTTTGCATGGATATTCGTCAATTGATAGTCGTTCATTGCTCTAACATTAGCTCCATTAATGACAATTTGATAGCCGTTTGCAGAAGCTGACTTTATAATTGCTATAGTTAGAAAAAAAAATACGTTAGTGTACATCTGATCAAAGATTGTATAAAGATCAAAATTGCAATAGAAACCTTCTGCTGCTGATGGCGATTGATCACTATTTACGGCAACTTTCACATCATTGTAAATTTTTTCGATTTCCTCTGTTGTCGTCGTAAAATATATTGGCATAGATATTTCTTCGCTCATTAATTCTTTTTCTAAATTCAATAAATGATCCTGATCTTCTTTTCCCATTTCCCATAATTTTGCTGGTAATATAATCATAATACCGGCCGCATTTTGCGTAAGCATATCCCGAATTTTTTCGGCAGTAACTTCCGCTAATTTAGCCAGGACACAACGGCGAGTCAACATGCGGGCATCAATCGATCGAGCTTCAACATTAACAAGGGCTCCGCGACTGCCTGTTTCGGTACAATAGAAAATAATAATATAACCTTAAATCTAAAATAGTAAGCATGCTAGTTAATTACCATAAACAGTGTTTTGAAGGTCGAAATGTTGCATTCGGTAGACAGCGAATTCTTGGGCTGCCGAAACCGGGTTCGTTGGCGCAATAATGACTAATAAAGGAATAAAGTAGATAAGAGAGTAGGGAAAGCTATTTTTGAACATTTCTATAACGGCGCCGGCGTCGTGAACAAACATCGTATTCTTCGTAGCCGAAAAAGCACGAGACAATAATCAACGCTTCTCAGGTCAAGGACGATTATCGAAATAATATGGTTTCTTGTACGCTTTAAACGGGCAAATGGTCTAGGAAAATTTGCTTGTCATCCCACTCAACGAAATAGATGTTCAATTTAATTTCACTTTCCACGAAATCGGAAAATTAAAAAACACTCTTACTTACCAATTGAAAATTTCTATAAATAATTCAAACGCAACAGAGTTTAGCTACATTCTTGAAATTAAAGTCTAAATTCAATATGCAAACACAGAGCAGACGATTTCTTTTTAAATAGCTAAAAACTTATTAATAAGAAAAACGGCTTAACGATTGTTATTTAATATTTTTATTACGTTTTACATCTTTTAATGGCTCAACAACGACTACTACAACTTCAATTGCAGGTGCTTCAGAAGATTTCTGAATCTTAACAAAGATCAAAGCCCAATAATGTATAGAAGAAATGAAAAAGGATTTATAGAGATTCCATAAAAACGTTTCCTTTTCTAAAAAATGAGGAAGGGTGGGGGGAGTTCCTATCTTCAATATACTTTTTATAAGATATGAAAACTACTCTTCCCATCGGATACTCCATTAAAAAAAGCATTTAGGGATCTGTTACTGTTGTCTTTGCATTCTAATTGATAGAATAGGTTACGTAATACATTTGGAATTTTATCTCAAGCCTATCTCATTTCATAATTATTTTCCAGTAAACATGTTACTGTATACGTGACATTATTATTGACGTATAAATGATTGAGTCTTCTTATTGGGATTGAGGAGATACCTGCGCATTTTATTATAATATTGATTACATTTTAATTAATAATGAGAATATCTGATTTTATGAAAGGAAAGATTATGAGAAAATGATATTTAAGAGAGAAAAAAATAAAGCTTAATGAATTTATTCCTTTGAGTAGAGAAATAATATTCTTTTTATATACGAATGTTAAAAAAAAACAAAAGAAAACACTACTACCAAATTTTTTGCTAGAAATTCTTTCAATGGAGCAGCACTGAAGTGGAGACAAACAATGTTCTCTATGTCGTATTTCAATTCTTGTTTCATTGTCTGATCATGTATTATTTCAACTTTTAATACGTGACAATCATAAGATCGAAAGTTATATCTCATAGAAAATATTCTCGAGTATAACAAAAACTTTCTTTAAAAGATGATAAGTTCAAGACACAGCTACACTTTTTTTTTAGTTTTTAACTGACTTATTACAACATGTGAATTAACTTTGACGGACTTACAGTTAAGATTCGTCAAAAAATAGTAATACAACGCCCTTATTTCACTCTGAATGATTAACGGGTAAATCAATGCAATCAAAAAAAAGAATGAAAATTCATAACATGGACTTACTTTTATTTGTTTCAAAGAATAATTATTTAACAAATGACAACTGAAAGAAATGATCAAGATAAGGTTAGCAAACTCACGGAGTTTACAATAATAGCTTCGATGCTTTTCACGAGACTGTACATGAAAAATGAACTAATGGATGTATCAATTGTAAAAAAAAAATTCTAGACACTAGTCTTGCATTTCCTCGGGTATTTCGTGTGGGTTGAGAATACCAGGAACAGCCATCTGAGCTTTCAACTTGGTTTCTTGAGCAGCTCTCATGGCTGCTTCTCGCTCGTCCAAAAACAAATCGCTGTTATCCTCACCAGAATACTCCTGTAACACAAAAATATTAAATTTAAATTGTAAAAACAAGTCTCATATTTTTAACTTACTCTAATTTGAACCAAAAAGTCTCTCAAGTGTTCCTTAAAAGCGTTCAAATCTTGATTAAAGCTAAATAGACCTTCTACAAATACTTTTATCTGCATATCGTTTAGGTGAGGGAAGGCTCCTTTCAAAACATTGGCCAGGAAAGATTGAATATAAGCGACGTTTTGTGAAGGATCAGTCACATCTACTGATAATGGAACGGAGATTTTGTTTGTTTCCAGGAGACCCAGCATGTAAGATAATATCTGGGAATGATGAGGCAGACCTGCAGAAGCGTGTTAGTTATTAATGGTACAAATCTAAAATTATAATATGAGAATTTTACCTGCCGAATGAGAACTGTCTGTCAATACACTAAATATATGCTGAATTATCTCAGTATAATACGTTTGATAAAAGCTTGGAGATGCTTCCTTTTCGTTACTGATATTTTGAAGCATGGTATGCAAAATATTCAAACCAGTATCGGATACGTTACGCATAGTATGCTTAACTGCCCAAATTACTGAGTCTAAGACAAGTTTGAATTGAGCAGGGGGAATATTCAGAAAGGCTTCAAAGCAGTAAGAGTTTACAACTTCTAAGAATAGGAAGAAATTTGTTCTATGATCGGGATATTCTTGAAAGTCTTTATTAATCATCTCAAGAGTGCATTCGAAAATGGCGTCAAAGATTTGAGGGATATCTTTTGTAATGGATCCTTCTAATTTATGAACAATTGTAGCCATTGTAGACAAAACTTCAGGCTCCCTTGCTGCTGGAACGTTTCTTTGATAATCCAACAGCACAGCATCAAGAAGTGGAGGAATGAAATTTTCTGCCACCATTGTAGCATCAGTTGACCTATGCACCCAACTTGAAATTAAAGTGAGTATTTCTTTTTTAACAGTCCTCATATTCTTGATTAATGGTTGTTTCGTTACTTGTTCGCCATTACTCATTATTGCAGTTGATATATTTTCACTCATAACTTTGTAAATATTAAGCATATCCAAGTAAATACGACCTAATTGGGTAACAAACGGTTGTCCCAACGATTTGCAAGCTCTAACGTTCGTCTTTAGTATATTTCCAAGTTGTTTTACAGCATCTCCATCACGAAGAATATCAACATTATGACTGGCCTGATTTATTATTGAATCCCAGACATGGTTAGGTAGCGACATATATTTGTCTATTAAATGTTCTTGAGTTGTTTGATCAGTTTGAGCGGATATCATTAGTCCAACAGCTTCGTAAAATGTATGTACCTGCTGTGGTTGTAGATCACAAACAATAGTGTTGATACTGTTTAAGATTTCCTCAATGAAAGGCATAACCTCTCCGACTTGAACCTGAACAAAATGACGCCTACACTTTTGGGCAATTTTAATAAAGGTATCGCACGCCATATCTTGAACACCATCATGAGTTTCATGCATGAATTCAAATAATTTGTTGACTACTGTCTTCAAAAATCGCCAATGAGCCCTCAAAAACCGAGGATATTGACCGACAACATACATTATGTTTGAAGCAATGATAGCTTTGTTGTCCTTTCCCCTCTTTTGTTCACATAAACCCAAGAGATCCCTAATGACTGTAACCAAAAATCTTTTTTCATCCTCTTCATGCAAAGCCCCACTGATTGAGCCAATAGCCCAACACAGAGTATTTAAATTTTTCCAAGACCACTCTGTCCCATTTACCTGATTGTGAAGTTTTTCAGTCATGATATTTTCGGTATCATTATAATCTAAATGTGTCAAGTATACCAATGTCTCCCTCATATTTTTATACAATTGAATAGAATCAGTATCTTTCATGAACTGTCTAACTACCTCACCCTGCTCATTTTCAACAACTAACACTTCTTCCGGTCTTGCCATTCGTGAAATCATTACTCTGCGTACCTGGGAAAGAATTGATTGATACATTTGGCGCCTCGGTAATTCATTTCTGCCTAAAACTAATCCAGTAGAGGGAGTAAATGGGCTCTCTCTATATAACTCAGATGCAAGGGAATTCCAATATTCCAAGCAAATTTTGAAGACTTCAACATCTTCGACCTCGCTAATAAGTAGTAAGTACTTAAATGCTTCCATAAGCAGGTCGTTCAAGTCCCGCCTTTTTTCAATTAGATTTCCGTGTTCTTTAAGAAATGTACACAAGAAAAGCGAGAGGTTCTGAATAAACTTTTGCTCATCGTCCTGTCCGTTCTTGTAAGCTTCCTTCATATTTGTATTTATTGGGAGCATTTGCTTTAGTTGTTGCATGGTCAAAGTGAAAAGTTGAACAAATTGTTCGTCGTACTTGCCAACTTGTATAGCTGCAACCTCTGTCAAGCACTTCATGGTAGCATTTCTGAACATTGGTACATTCAAAAATTTGTATATCAATGTTGTTATAAGCTTCGTTTCAAATATATAACCCAGTGGAATCCAGTTAAGAAATCTCAAAAGAGTTTCTAGTGTAGATCCAACTAAAGGTGCATTTTGCGAATTGTCCATGACGAATTGACAAAGGGTGAAAATTTGCGAAAACTCAGAACACATAGAATCTTTCAAATGCTTTGCCTTAGCTTGGGTCATCTGTCCGCTGGAGAAATCAAATACTTCCTCAGATAGCAGTTTTAGAATAGCCATGTTGTTTTGACATAGAGATTCATTTGTCTTGCTTGCTCCAACAACATCAGGGATGAAAGACGGCCAATTTCTAGGCCACTCATATTTCAAGATATGTACGAGAATAATATTTAGTTTGTTTAGATAAACTTTCTCTTTTTCCAGGGTTTCAACTTCTGACGAGGTCTTTATAATTAAACCTACAATGTATTTTTTAATACCTTCACATTGTTGTCTCGGTAAGACTTTCCAGCGAGCCTTAATCACAGTCTCAAGAATTTGCAGAGCATAAAACTTCGTTTGTTGATTGGTAGAATATTCAAGAATAGTATCAACGCGCGTCCAAGCTTCTGGATGCTCTTTCAGATTGGTTAGAACATCTTGAGCTACCTTCTGCTCCTGGCCGATCCCAGAGTACATGCATCCTACGACCGAGTCTAGTAGATTTATGTCGAGTTTCTGATTAAAATCGAGCAGTTTGTTTGCCTGTTCGATTAAAGCTGCCATATTTTTAATTTGGAAAAATGTTATGAAGTAATCAACAGCTCTTTAGTTCAGAAATACTAAGTCAGTTCTGCTCGCACGTTCTACAGCGGAAAATTCCCACTTCCACTGAAACCGGTTGTAACCGGCTTGAGGCAGACGAGAAGGGCGATTACCGGTTTAGACTGGAAACTGGGAAGGTGGAGTGTTTTTCTTAAGGCGCCATTTATGTGTAATCACATTACGTTATTTACGTGTTTTTTACTCAATAGGTTTTATTAATATTTATAAGGCATTATTTTTGACGCAAAAGAGTTTTTCGAATTCATGCGTAATATTAATTCATTCGGCCATTGTGTATATATTCCAATGTGTGACCAGTTTGCGCGATAATAACAAAATCGATGTCTTGATTTTATAACATACATTTATTGATCTTTTGAAACATATAAATATATATATTTTAAATATATACCATAAGAGATGAAGACTACTCTATCTAATATGCTACCAAGCTGCACAACAGGTGATACGTCATATACTAAGGAAAAGGTAAAGAACAGTAGCAACAGTACTGCATAAAAGCATCAAGAATTAGTTATTCAACACCAGGTTCAAATAAAAAGATTGGACTTGTAAATGATAAATTACATAATGGAACAAGATTTATCTTCAGAATTTCGTGATCCCTGTAAAGTTTAATATCTTTTAGCATTTTAAAAGTAATTTTCACGCAATAACATACCGTATATCCACTTTCACCACTATAACTTGATCGCGACTTGTTTCTTTTCATTTCTAATTTAGCCATCTCCTAGTTTTTTAATTTATATTTACAATATTTTATCATTCGGATAAATTATACCACCTACCCCTTGCTTATTATCTTTCAGGACGGTACTCATTTCATCACCAGAGAACCACCTTTGCCCTTTCATAACAAGATTTTCAGGCGGTTCGTGGGCTTGTCCAGCATTAGCACTCCATACCTTTCAATACGGTTGAATTTAGACAATTTGCGGAACTTAAATATTCGATGTACTTACAGTAACGTAGGAATTTGGTTTAATGTGAATATTTCTATGAAATTTGTAAGAAGTTATTGGCTGATCACCGGATTCATGCGATAGCTGCCATCCTCCTATTGCTACATCTTCACTCGATGTATTAAGTAGTTTAATAAATTGTCCCTTGATGTCGACCTCCTCTATTTGAACATCTCCTTTTTGGTTGGAAGTAGTTGTATAATCGGATATAGATAGCGTCTCTTTAAATTGGAAACCTGAAACAATACAAAATGGTTAAGGAACATTGTAATGCTTAGATTCATATTCAACATCTTATGAAAAGCATTGTTATGTCAAGCCTGAATCATAAACATTTACTATAAGCTTCTATACCTTCTTCCGTTCTCTTTCTTTTGCGATTTGGTCCTTCCTGAGATAGATTTAAACGAGTCTCCTCACTCTCTAACATCTTTCTATAGGCACTTATTTCGGCATCAAGAGCAACCTTGCATCCCAGAAGTTCTTCATACTCTTCCAACATTTGTGTTTCCTGAATTTATTAAATATTGAATTTTATCTGTTTCCAAATTTACAGAAGATATACTGCACCTTATTTCTATAATTGGTTAATTCGGTGTCCTTTGCGTTTATTTTTGCTTCATAATCGTCTCTCAATTTACGGATATCGTTTTCTAATTCTATTATTCTGTTTTCCATTCCAGCCCTTTCCGATCGTAGCTTGTTTGAAACGGTAAGAGTTTCATCCAATTCACGTCGTACTCTTTGCACATCATTTCGAGATCGTCCAACTTCCTCTTGGAATCTTTCGATATCAGCAGACATAGCTTCTAATCTCTGCTCATACGCATTTACAGTATCCTGCTTGGCAGCTCTGAGAGCTTTTTCATTGCCGTCACGCATCTCTTTTAGCGATTCGCTTAGTTTATTCTCAAATTCACCTCGAATTGCTTCCGTTGACTGAGCGATTGATACATCAGTTCGGCTCCTTGATTCATTCAATTCTTGCTCATGAACAGACTCCATAAAAGACAGTTGTTCTTTCAAGGTTTGAAGCTTATTTTCATAATCAACACGTTGAACTGTTTCTCCTTCCAGTTGTTGTTTAGCCGTATCTCTTGCCTTCTCAGCTGCTTTCAATTCATTATTCAAATGCTTTATTTCATCATCTTTTATCTTGAGGTTGTTCAAGAGATCAGTAATTTTCATCTGAAGGGCACCGCATTGTGACTCTGATTCGCACAGAGTGTTTTTAGTTTTTTGGTGTTCTTTTCTTTCGCTCTCATATCTATAAAACAAACGATATCACTTTATACCAACATAAAAAAGTTCGCTTTCGAGTAATGACTAAAACTATTTAATATACCCTTATTTCTAGATAATTGTAACATCTCCGCGAAATATGAATTAAACAATCTTGTGCCTAATATGTGCAGATATAAACATATATGTTTTCGATATATAACATTTATCATTTACACTATCAGTGAATTGTCTTTGCGATTTCTAAATTCATGTCAAATACGCTTAGTAAAATTAGGTTCAATAGTCGCATTCAAAATCGAAAGAAGAATTTGTTCCATTGTTGTCTCCTAAGATTAGTTATTATAATCAAACAAAAATAAGTTTCTAAAGTCTTGTCGTTAGATGTCGCTTTATAAATGAGATTCAGACCTTTTTTAGAAATATTTGTCTGACTTTGAGATTGATATATTTAAGGCAAAGGCAGGTACGTTTTTGCGCGTGCATGCTCTGTTGCCCAGTTTTTATTTATACAAGCGCACGCGTCAGCCAAAACTGCCGCCGACGCTAACCAGGGGGCGTTTGTTTTGATATAAATGCATACTTCTTTTTGTATTCCAAAGCATCAGCCTTATGTTTTCCACTTTCGATCTCGAATTTGGACCTTTCGGTAGATAACTCGTCAAGAAGATTTCTTGCATCAGTCAACTCTTTTTCATATAATCCTTTGACTTGAGTACTTTCTCGAACAATGGTCTCCTCATGTTGTTGAATCTAGAAAGGGGAGGGTGTGTCAGAAAGTTGACAGAAAAATTACAATTATTGCTAAAATAATATAGACTGAGCGGAAAGTTTATAAAACTGCTCTTCTCCTTTAACTGTGTCAAGTCTTATATCGAGAATTTAACACCTTTCCACACAGTGAGTCTTAATAATCCTTTTGATCTATCTCGCTTGAAGTTTAATAAACAAAACAAATTTTGTGAAAGTGGAAAGTTTTTACCTGAAAACTCAATCTTCGATTTTCAGATTCCAACTTTCTATTCCGTTCAATATAAACAGCAAGTCGGTCATTAAGTTCCCCTAATTCTTGTTTCTCCTGAACTCGCGCGCGCATTGTAGGTGATGGCGCTCTTTGTCGCGATTGCCGTTTAGAACTTGACGGAGTTGCCCTTTCCGATGGGGGGGCAGACGATTCCTTACTAGCAGACTTTTTCGAACGAGTTGACATCCTTGTATTACTTTTTTCTCTTTACTATCACGAAAAACAATAAGTAGTTAAAAAGAACCCCGGCAATTCACCGGGCCAATATGGCGTTTACGACCAATCAAGAAAGTGGCTCCCGGTCACGTGACATTATTTTACGTAAAACGACTCCAAATATATTTTTTAAAAAAATAATAAATTAATTCAATTTAATAAATAAATTTCAATTTTTTGTTTCATATAAAAATAATATTAATTTTTTTGGAAGAATATATTATTTTGTGAAAACTTCCGAATCTTTCGCCATGGACTTCCTTTTTACATCTTTTGTCGCCTCGTATAAATCATGGTGAGTTAAATCTTTAAAAATCCTCCTTGAAACACTTAATCAAGTCATCAAACTGTCTATGATAACTTTTTAAAGTATTTATCTATTGATTACTTGAACAATAATTGCTATTTTCAGGCTGACACTGCTACTCTCCGAACGAGAAAATTTATGACAAACCGTTTACTAAGCCGTAAACAAATGGTTGGTTTCAGACTGAATTCTATTCATATCACTCTAAAAAACTGTCAAATATTATCCTCTAATACTAGATTGTGGATGTATTGCATCCTGGAAGAGCAACTGTACCGAAAACTGAAGTTAGAGAGAAATTGGCAAAGGCGTTTAAAACCACTTCAGATGTCATCTTCTGCTTCGGCTTCCGAACTCAATTCGGTGGTGGCAAAACGACTGGATTCGCTTTGATTTACGACAGCCTGGATCAAGCTAAAAAATTTGAGCCCAAATTCAGACTCGTCCGACAAGGACATATGGAAATTAAGAAAACTGCAAGAAAGCAGAGGAAGGAAAGAAAGAACAGACAGAAGAAAGTCCGTGGTACGAAGAAAGCGAAGGTCGGATCAGGAAAGAAGGTAAATACGCAGCTCAATATTGGTTAACAAAGATTAATTTTTATTCTTTCTTTCAGTAATCATCTACATTTGTCGCTGTATGTTGAGTTGGTTGCGACATTTAAAATAAAACTCATAATGTTTTGACTTTAAGATTTCGTTTGCGACAACGTTTAATGAAAAAAAAATCGCTTACGGTTAACACGGTTCATAAACACATTTAGTCTCTTATAATGTCATTTAATAAGTGCTCGTGGCTTGGATCTCTTCCTTGAAATCTTCTAAACACTTCGCTCGCTGAAATTGATCCCCCCATCGACAATAGGGTGTTTCGTAGCCTCATTCCAACATTTCTTAAATGTTGTTCATTTTCTAGTCCCTCACCTTCCATAAATGAACTCTTCAAATCGGCAGCCATCATATCAGACCAAACGAAAGAATAGTAGGCTGCAGAGTGGAAGTCTGAAAATATTGAAGTCATCCAACAAGGATGATTATCATCATCGTGATGTGGCATAGGCATGAATTCATTCCATAAACGTTTCATTGTTGTATACCAATGATCATTACCAATATTCATTTCAAGATCGAAAGCTGATAAGTATAACTGTCTCATTAAATCCAACGAAGAAAAGTGATTCTGACGTCCAATTATAGCTTGGATATATTCTTCCGGAAGTCTTTCCTTAGTGGTATGATGACAAGAGAATTGACTCAAACAATAAGGTGTATGTAATAGTTTGGAAAACAATAGTGGAATTGCTTGAACAGCATCCCACTCGATATTTCTCTGGCCGGCTAGCTCGCTTACTTCAGCAGTCGTTAATAACTGTTGAAGGCCATGCCCAAGTTCAAACATTAGAGTCTGAACATCGTTTAGTGTAAGTAAAGCGTAAGGATGCGACGAAGGCTTGTTAATCGACATATTCAAGTAGCTATATGGCTTACAATTCAGTAATGAGCTATACTCTCTACCTACTTCCATCCAAGCACCTTTTATCTTATTGTTTCTTTTCCAAAAATCAGCATAGAATGAGGCCAGTTCGTTTTGGGTATCACAATCAATGATTTTAAAATACCTTACTTCTGAATTCCAGCTATCAACTTTCCCTGTGCACTCGACAATTTGTATGTTGAAAGCTTTACCTATGAACTCGAATATTCTATCGAGAACAGTTTCGAAGGGGAAATACTGTGCGATAATGGCATCATCAACTTTAAATAGTTGATCAGCTAGTTTTCGTCTATAATAGTATACATCCCAAGGCTTTAGATCTTTTACACCATCCTCTGCAGCTAGCGCTTTTAAATCCTCTATTTGTTTTTTCAAAATAGGACCTAATCGTGTTCTAAACGATTCTATCATATGTAAAACATTTTTAACGTTTCCGGCCATTTTTGTTTGCATAGACATATGGGCGAAATTTTCAAAGCCAAGTAAATTAGACAAATCTAATCTAGATTGCCTTAAATCTTTTATAATATTATGATTACTCAAATTTTGATCATCTTGGCTTATGGAGGCTCTATTATTATAAGCGTACCAGATATTCCATCGGGTGGTCCTGTTAGGACAGTATTTTAAAACTGCGTCTACACTATGCTGCTGGAGTGTTACTCTCCACGGACCTTAAGATTAATTTAAAAATATCAGATTGAGCCATTAAAGTTATCAACTCTCACCATGTTGAGGTCGGAGACGGTCTTGTGCTAAATTGGCAGCAACATGTTGTGGCATTTCAGTAACATCGTTAAAGTCGTGAATTAGATGAGAAAATATATTAGTGCTTAACATGACACGATTTCTATTGAGAAAAGAATATAGAAACGTGTAAATGATTGCATAAATGTGAACCTTACCTAAAATGATTCTTGCTATCAACTAATTTTCCTAATGTTTCAATAAATGATCGTTTATCAACTCCAGTCAATTCGATGCCATTTAGTTTTCCTTCCATTAAATACATATCGATTAAACTTCTTTGTGCTTCGGTTAGATTTGGTAAGTTTTTCGCATTCTACATTAAGTATAGTTGAAAGACAAATGTGAAAATAGGTTTATTAGTAGTGTAGATAATTCTATGAAAGAAATAATAACTTTAACGATCTTGAACAAATCTTCACTGATCCATCTTTCATTTTTTGCTCTCTCTACTTGTGGATGAATCTATTATAAAAAAATCCTTTTTATGATAATATATTTTTAATGTTGTCATTTACTCTTTGGAAAGCTGTTCTGTACGGTCCTCCGCATGTGTAGTTAAGATTTTTAGCAGTTCGCCAAGCAGTATTCATAGGATGATACATTTTTTCAATTGGATGAAATATTGCTTCGAATGATAAGGCGGACTCGGAATCTTTAAAAAGTTTTTATTAGTCTGGTTTTATTATAGTTTTAGCTTATTTACTTTTCAATGATTCAATATGTTGTCCTAATTGCACATCATATTGAATGGCGAGCTTGGAGCATCCAGTAATAATTTTGTCAGGATTTATTTGTCGAAACTGAGGGTGCTCTTCATGTCTCATTACCGCATTATCGCTCGCTGTATCTGGAGGAACCTCCGGAAGTCTGCAAAGGCAAATTTTTAAAACTTGATGATTTAAAAGTAATAAAAGATCTAACAGGACATAATATCCAGCTGAGTTGCATCTTCTTTGCTGAGTAAGATTAATCCAATTTGGCCGCCGAACTAGTCTATGCGCTACACCAGCCATGATATTCTAACAATTGTCATGTAGTGTCCAATATGGAATAGCATTCGATTTTCTACAGCAAGACTGTCGCTGTTTCACAATAAACATCTTTATATAAAAAATGTCGAAAAAAGCCAAACCTTTAAGAGCTAAAACTACAAAAGTAGTATTAAAAACTGTATTAGGAACCCCTTTCAAATATAATTGGTTTGTATCCACCTAACGATTTTGTAAATTTCGTGATTATCATGTATGTCAATTAGAAAGTTTTGATGTCATTCATTTAGGGAAATCAACGAAAAGAGTGATGAAATTTTAACGAAAGTCAAAAAGTTTGTATTTTAGTTTCAACGCATTTGTAAACGATGAATTTTAAAAAAATAATTTTTTCTTTCATATTAACAAAAGAGAGCTAAAAGAATGTGAAGTAAAAAAGTTTCCTGGGTATAAAAACTGGAAAAGCGAAGGTTTTAAAACTCGTGCCGAGAAGCTTGATAATTATCGAAAAAATTTAACTAGCGATCAAAAGAATCTCTTGTAATTAATTCTATTTTTACGTGTAATTAATTGTTAAATCGCTTTATCTCATTTAGATCACAATTAGCGTGCGGAATAAATGAAGTAACCAAAGCCTTGGAAAAAAACGATTTGAGTGTTTTACTAGTTGAAAAAAGTGTACCGCAAATAATGATACGGCATTTGATACCTTTGAGTGCCCTTAAACATTGTCCTACAGTCTGCGTATCAGGAATGAAAAATTACCTTACAAATCAATTAGGCGTAACCTCTCTAGTAGCCTTTGGCATTAAAGTAAGAAGCACTATTTAAATCTTTATACATCTTTTCCCATTACTACATGATTGAACATAAATTCTCTTTATAAAAACATAGAAAAAAAAAGAAGGTGATTGCGATAAATTTCAAGGTATAAGAGATATTATACAAAGCTACGCTTTACCTATTAACTTGGAAAATATCGGTTTACAACTTAATGAAACGCAAGAAAAGAGTAAGTGATATACAAATTGATTAGCATTTAAATAAACTTCACTCCTGTTTTGAAGGTAAACAAGTGAAGAAGCTTAAAAGAAAGAAGCAAGCTCCCAATAATGAACTTTCCCTTAAAAAGGAAAAAATTGACGAAAAAGTACAGACAGCAGACTTTGGAAGTGATTTTATTTCTTTTGGCACTGTTAAATCCGAAAATTCCTGGAAAGAGAAGTTAGAAGGACCTAAAACAATTCGGGCGGATAATCTTTATAAAACTTTAAACATCCAAAAAATACCACGAAATCAGAATAGAAAGTCTGGTAAAAAGAATAAAGATATATTATAATTGAAAATTATTCAAATCAATTTCCGATATACTGTATGACGTAATCACTTGTATAATAGTTCAATATTAAGGGTATTAAATTAAATTAATTAAGGATTTACCTTTTTTTTAATAATCGAATCGAGTACGTACGAAATGAATAAAACACTTGTGTCACATTGTCAGAAAAGATCATACTCTGACGTAACTAATCTTTTGACGCCTGCTTCTTTCTGCTTTTTTAAGTGTACAGAATCTTTGTTTTCTTATTTTCTAGTAAAAGTACGAGGCCCTTTTAGAAAACCATTTCCTTTTCTTTTTAGCTTTTTAGTGTATGAAAGCGATGTATAGGCTTAATTACTATATTACTAGTCATATGTTGGATATATTGAAGAGAATATATTTACATGTATATACATTATATAAGTTGTATTTTTTGGATAGTGACACATTTAATACGGATAGACTGTTGAATAATTAGCACCGGTAACGTTCGGAGTATCATAAGCTGGAACTTGTAATTGAGAGTACATGCAACTTTGTTGTTGAGCTTGTGGAGAAGTGTCTGGAATCGCTGAATTCGGTTGTGGTGGAAGTGGTGGAGGACTTAGAACGTGTTGGCTGTTGTTATTTGAATTTGTAGCGAAAACTTGCCTTCTCATCATTTCAATATGGCCATTCTTCGACTCTTTGCGAAATCTAGATCTTCTATTTTGAAACCACGTACAAATCTTTTCCATTGGTATGTTCATACGACCAGCCAAAGCTGAGATAATTGCGGCGTCGGGATATTGTGTTTCCGCGAACACAGTTTCCAACGCTCTTAGTTGAGTAGGACTAAACCTTATTCTCTTTAGCTTACTGCAAGATGATCTTGTTCTCTCCGGACCAACATTGGCAGTTTTTCCATAATTACCGTAGGCACATGAAGACTGAGTTGCGTCCATTTCGCTTGCCTAGAGTAGTCTAAATGTTGAGAAGAGACCGCCGTCTCTTATATAAACGCTTAACCAACTCGTGCCAGCGCCACCAAACCGTTGGAGATTTCAATACGTAAGTAAAAAGTGTCAGTGTGGATGATTGCGTTTACTCAACGCTTTTGTTCCGTGCCAAACGCAATTAATGTGTTACAGAATGGAAACTTATTATCTTTCCTTAGTACAAGTTCTATTATAACAAACGCGCATACAAATTACGGTCAAGTCAAATTATGTTTTATAAAAACATTCGTTCTGATGAATATTTAAGGCGCTTTCTACAAGCTTTTCAAAGTTTCCTCTACTTTAAATTATCAACAACTTTTTTATTAGTATTTCTAGAGTAATTACAGATAATTTGGAATAATTCTTATTAAAATTTAATCTATAAACTCAATTAAGAAAAATCACAAATTTTTATGAAAGATTAGGTTTTAAAAGTTTTATTAAGTGTGTTTAATTGAATAGTAAACTTGCCCGCCTCTCCTTTCTCATGTTAAATGTCATAATAAAGATACTAATTAATTATTAAGTTTGTTGATCAGTCATTTTAATAAATATAATATTAATAATAATTAGGTGTATAGTTTTACATAAAATCAATGGCTTATATTAAATTAAAGATTTTTCCTTCAACTTTGTGCATTATTGCATTGTAAGGGTTAGATAGGGATTATTTAGTCTTGCTAACAAGTTTATGTAAGACGCTGGCGCCACTATTGTGGCGCGCCGGGGCTTTAAGTACATAGGAAGTAATCCAAGAAAGTTTTACAGTAGGTCCGCTACGAGCGCCACTGTCTGTCCGGAAGTGTCAAAGCTTTGAGCAATGACATATCTTGACCTTTCTTATCTTTGTCTGTTTATTATCTTTCCGAAAATATTTATCATTTCGTATTTAAAGTCACGAAACGGAAATAATTATTTTCTTGTCAGAGGGTATTGATATATTTTGACCAAAAATTCTGACAAAAAAAAACTTTTCTATTTTTTACGAAAACGGAATAATGGGATTCCCTGGAAAAGACTTGCTGACGTAAAAGTTGTAGAATAGACTAGTAGGGTGTGCCACTTGGAAAAAAGTTTGTTTGTGTGTTAAATAATAATGGAATATTGTCCATTTACCGCCTGCATTGATCCCGAAAAAAGGGATCAAAAATTAAAAAGCCTTCGAATTGACAAACAATTGAAGAAAGAAAAGAAATTGGCAAGAAGACGACAGAGAGTTCTACTGTTAGGTACGGCTGAAAGTGGTAAAAGTACATTTTTGAAACAAATGAGAATTATTCATGGCGAACAATTTAAAGAAGACGAAATGTTACTTTTTAAGTTGACAATATATCAAAATATTGTAAAAGGAATGCTGTTGATTATGCGTCAAGCGAAAATGTTGGTAGACAATCAAAACCAATGGACTTGGGAGAAAAAACAAGTGGAAGACTTTGTCGAACAGCAACTTAGATCGCTGGATTCTCTTAATTCCAAATTTTATGCCTTAATTATGCCGCTAAAGAAGCAGACACAGATTGAATCAAGTAAAACTATCGAAGCACAGGATCCGGAATTGAACGAGACCACGGTATCTAATAAAGAAAAGTTATTTTTGCCTCTCGTGTCTCATTTTAAATCACTATGGAGCGAGAAAGTAGCAAAATTCGTGTTTCGAAACCGTCATATTTATGAAATAGTAAGCGAATCTTAGATTTTTTTAGTATCATATCTCGCTTATGGTGTCATATTATTGCGTTATTTTCAGGACGACAGCGTACAATATTACATGGATAATATTGACAGAATAGGTACACCCGGGTACAGACCTAACATTCCTGATATCGTGCATTCTAGGAGGAAAACTATTGGCATTTTGGAACATGAATTACTTGTCAGTCAGATTCCTTTCGTTTTCATCGACGTCGGAGGTCAGCGAACAGAACGGGATAATTGGCTTAAATGTTTCGCTGGCATTACAGCTATTCTCTTTCTTGCTTCTTCTTCGGAATTCGATCAGAGATTGGGAGAAAACCCAAAGAAAAACAAGATGAGAGAATCGCTCGAGATATTTCAAACTATTGTCAACAACAAAATTCTTATAAATGTAGCAATTATACTCTTTCTCAACAAAGAGGATGTTCTAAAGAAGAAGGTAGGAGCTGGAGCAAATATTAATTCCGAATTTCCTCAATTTAAAGGAGATCCAAATTCGCCTGAACAAGTTCTACAGTTTGAACTCTCTCTATTTGACGAAATGCGACGAGATAGATCGAAACCCCTTTTCCACCATTTTACAACTGCTGTAAATACAGACAATATTCGGGTCGTTTTCAATGCCGTAAAAGACACAATTTTGCAAGATAATCTCAATGCTTTGATGCTACATTAACCATTTTTGAACAGTATTGCTCATCTCAGCTTTTCTCGTTTCTTTTGACATATGATGTAATAATGATATAATGTATCTGGAACACACTACTGTGTGGCGCTTTTGTATATTCTTTTTTTAAAAATATGCAAATATCCTATGTATATTTTATATCCAAACGACGAAACGACTTTGTGAAATATTAAAAAAAAAACTTCTTTTTTACTGATAACAACGTATAATATAATACATTAACGGAAACCACGACCGGTTGCTCCTCTTCCTGGACCGCCTCGTCCTGGGACACCTCGACCGGCCGTTCCGCGACCACGAGCGGCTTGAGCTCTGAGAATTCCCGATTTTCCACGCCCGATAGTGGACCCTCTGCCCTGAACTTTCTTGAACATAGGTGCATTCTTCAACATGTCGGGAAGTATCATAAATCGGATTTTAGATCCTCGAATGAAGACGTGTTCCAGTTGGGCAACTCGTCCATCTCTGTAGGTTACCGTTACGTTGGCCATTTGGCTGTTCATATTGTCTTCTGCCTCCACTAACTTTCCACGGTAAACATCGCCGGTAGCAGTTTCACAAGTAACAATGTGTCCTTCGGCTTCATGCAATATTTTTATTGGAACACCAACCGACATTTTTCAGGAGTAATATTTTCTGAAATATTTTCCTTCTTAAACAAAACTTCTTAGTTCTAAATATATAGAAGTCGCGCGATTTAGGTAAAGCAGTCGGTAAAAATGGCGGAAATCGGATCCGGTGCGTTTTAAAGGGCTGCACTGAATGAAGAAGAATTACCATCGCTATCAGTTTTGCGTACATTTTAATTAATTAAAAGACATATATGATTTATGATTAATTTAAAAAGTTTATTTTTCGAAATACATTTCGTAATATTACCAATTTTTGTGCATTCTCTATATTCGTACATTCCATTTTTGTTTTTGGTAGCTTGTCTTAGTAATTTATAGTTAATTCTTGAATATTCCTTCTTATATTATTAAGTTGGGAATATTTAAATTAAAAAAAGTCAGATGAGCAAGGTATTTTTGAATTTTTTTGACAATTTTAACTTAAAACAACAAATATTCATGTTCGTGCATGTAATTTTTCTGCCATCATTTCCCTTTTATTAATGGAAAGATGCAAAGTGTTTACAATACTTTTATAAATAGAATACATAGTTTAAATATTATTTATCTAACTATCTAAAAGCATGTCTTAGTGATTTCATTCCATATTTTTTAAAATTATGCTCCATCTATCAAATTACAGAAGGATCAAGATACATTAGACGCCGATATCGATGATATTCTAGGTGGAATTAGCGATGGTTAGATTTATACCAGATTTTAATTTACTCAGATAACAATAATAATTAAAACAAAGAAATTATTTCATAGATGAGAAACCAGCGCCAAAACCAACTAGAGGTGGACAAACGAAAAAGCCAGAGTGAGTTTATAATAATGACGCCTATAGGAAAATACTATTTATTTAGCGAATGATATATATTTCACTTAACTAATGAAATCGTATCTCTTTTTCAAATTTAAGTGTTTACGATGATGCTTTCTACAAGAATTTGAAACCAGACATTTCAAATGACAGCGACGTTTCTGATGCTAATGATGTTTTGGCCGGATTGGCTGTAAAATATTTTTTTAATTAGTGAATAAAATCATGCAATAATTAGAATATTTTTTAATAAAGGATATGGATGATTTGGATGCAAATCTGTTCGGAACTAAAAAATCGACTACACCTAGCAAAGAACCACCAAAAAAGCCCTTAAGTCAGGAGAAGAAACCAGCGGTTGAGGAAAAGAAACCACCGATAAAAAAGGATATTGGTAATTAAATCAGTATGACATTATCTTACTTTTTGCTGATATTGATAATTAAAATTCAATAGATTTCGATGATGATGATGATCCATTGGATTTTTTAAATACTGGAAGCTCTGACAAGTAAGCTAATCTTAATACAATTATTTTGAAATCTATTAGATATAATGTAATTCATTGATTAGATCAAAAGACAGTCGTAGAATGGAAGTTGAAAGGCCTCCAACTAGAACTGGAAGCCAGAGAAATGAAACTACGATAGCGACAAGAGCTGGTATATATAAATAACTGAGCCTAATTTGGCAAGGAAATAATTATAATTATATAATGCTTTATTATAGGATCTATACAACAGTCAACATCCAGTGGATCCAGCGGAAAGAAAAAAAGTGGAGATGATTTTTTCGACGACGATGATTTTTTAGATGGCCTTGGCCTTGATTCTAAGGCGTCTGACAAGCAGAAAGTAATTATCCAGTTTAATGTTCTAATAAACAAAAATATATTTGTTTTT